CCTCCTCTTATCTCGCGAGACGCTCCTTTGCCTCGCGAGATGCTTCCCTTGCCTCGCGAAACCCTCCTTTTATCTCGCGAGACGCTCCTTTGCCTCGCGAGATGCTTCCCTTGCCTCGCGAAACACTCCTCTACCTCGCGAGGTGCTTCGCTACTTAGCTTTATATGCGATCAAAATTTATACAATATATAAATTGCATCTATGCATACAAGACAATATTTTCAAAAATTTGACTTACACCACTATGGCTTTTACCCGTCCATATGTAACATTATTTATAAGAAAATTATATTGTAATAAGGAATTATAAGGAAACGTGTAATAAATTTGAAATTGTATGATACTAATGCCGGATATATTATACGAAATCAACATAAGACGATTTCTTAATAGATAATAACGGTGTTTATTCTTTATCTATAGAATTTCACATTTTAAAAATTATCGTTAATTATTATAAATTTCACATAAATGTGAAGGTTTGAATCAACGCTCAAATAATAGCTTCTTGCTTGCAAAATTTGACATTTATCTGAAAATTAAAATTATAAAATTACGATTATATTTTTCAAAATTATGAGATACAAAGTTCGTAATAATTTTGAAGAATGTAATCTTAATTTTGTAATTTTAATTATCGTAATTCGTTATTAATTGGAATACGCAAGATGGAAGCGCGGCCGCCGCGGCCAGAATATCCCCTCCAGTTCGGCTAGTTCGGCTTCGGCACGAACCTAGCACCTAGCAAACCATGTGCGGTTACCGAGCGATACGACATAGTTGAGTTGCATTTTCTCAGGCGGCGCGTCGGAAAATGCAACACAGCAACACACGAAAAAGGCCGGGATGGCCTCTCTCAGGTTTCTCTCTGCCTTTATCAAAAATGACTATTTCAGTTTATATACCAATATTAGCAGAATCGATCGATCGATCATTCTTCCTTCCAAGTTCCAATGAGCGTTCAAAAATTAAAAGTTACATTATCCGGGCGATTGTTTCGTCAAAAATTTCGCTCAAAAATTTGAGGTTGTGCAAAGTCAAGCGGAGGATCAAAGATCGTCGACGCAACGTGCGGCCTGGTGCGGCCCTATTTTAATCGCGCCGGCCGGTCGCCGTCGATCGTGGATATCGCGGATATCGTGAACGGAACGAGGGAAGAGGGGGACTAGAGTAGCAACTCCAACATATATAGGTTGCCGCGGTGAGATGGCATGACGCGGGACGTGGGCGCGGGCGCGAGTGGTCCCGCGCTCACGTGTCTCAGAACGTGCGGCCGGCTTATCGCGGCGAGGATTGTGGACGGAGGACGGAGGACGGAGTCTAGGCCGGAGAGGGCCGTTGCCGGCGAGTCAGTCGGCGCGTGGAAACCGGCGAACGTGAAACTCATCCGCCGTCGCGCGTCTCGAGCGAAACATTTTTTGGCGAACGCCTGTCTATATAACCTGTCTTCCTCATCCGCACCGTCGATCCGCGTCCTTTCTGACAGATCCACGATCGAATTCGCGAGGGCGAAGGAAGAGATGAGCGAACTTGACGCGAGTGCGTGTACGTAGTGTGAGAGAAAAAGGGGTCGCATTTATTTCTTATTTCGAGGAAGAATCGTATTTTGAGAGAAGCGCAGAATGGAGGAGGTATCCGTGGAGAACGCCAAGGTGTCGGACTCGGGATACTCCAACACCTGCAGCAACAGCCAGTCGCAGCGCAGGTGAGCGCATTCCGCAATTTTTCCAATTTTCGAATTTTCTCACATGCTAAGATTCAAAGCGGCTGAGCTATTTCTTGAGACCGTTCTTGGAGCGATATGAAGACGATTATAATATCGTTTTGAGTTTTAATAGAAAAATAATTGACTAAACTGACTTTTCAAAACAGCGAATAAGATATCCGAAGTTTCCACAGTTTATTTCACATATATATTTTGTTTTCATCTTTTAAATTATCAACATTTAAATCTTCTCGATAGGCATAGTCTGACTTTTAACGAGATAATAAAATTTGAGGAAAATAAAAAACAAGCCGCATTTTTTTCACATATATGTACGCAAAGAATCGACAATGCCTTTTAACATATAAATTGTTGCAATTGCATTTTATTGGTGTTTTATTCTACTTTATGTTACTTAATTTGATCTGCTTCTACTTTGTCAAAAAAGTATCTGCACACCCAGTTTTCTTACAATAACATTACAGTATATGTGATAAGTCACTTATGGACACAATTTGTAATTATGTATTATTCCTTCGAATAAAGTTATTGTAAGAAAACTGGGTGTGGTGTGCAAATACTCTTTTGATCCACTGTATATTTGCAATATTTTTATTTTAAGTTGACGACTTTTCCGCGTTCGGAAAATTCGAATTTGCGAGATTGCTTTCGATTAAAAAAGATCTTGTTACGCAATAATTATAAAGAGTAGGTATAATAAATAATAATATTAGAAACACAAATGTATGATATGCGACATATAATGTATATACAAATTACAATTATATGTATATATATTATATTTCTTTTTTAAGGCGATAATTCTTTTGGATTCAATTTACGATATTTCAAATCGATTAGGAATCTTGTCGCAATTACGAAGAGCATAATAATGCGTAAAGAAAATACGGGCACGCGCGCGCGCGCGTGTTTGGTGGCGCGAGACTATTAATAAAGCTCATATTGTTTCTTATTATCCGGTTTAATTACTTCCCTCTCGTTTGAAATAATATAACGAATCCGAAAATAACCAGATTAAATATACTCGACACAATGATGAATATAATTTGTCCCGCGGCACGGCAGCGTAACAAACAAAATTGTACGTGCGTCCCTTCGAACAATAGCGGTTTGTATATTGTCACCATAATGGTAGCCATTCATATTTCTCTTTCTTTCTCTTTCTTGGATTGAAACATCTTTTCGTCCGATTTTATGAAATAGGACGCTATCGTTACCTTCCCATCATCAGCGAATCATTTCTTTATAATATACGAAAATGATTTTGTTTTAATGTATCATCGATAATTGCATATATGCAGTATGTATAGCTTTTCGGAAAATTATTATCGCGTGTCTTCGTCACGATACTTGTCGGACAATTTATCACGATCGATTTATTCAATTTATTGCAAATTGAGGAAAAAAATCTAAACTTACCCCGAAACGTTTTCTTAACAAATAGCAATTTTTTAAGAGTATAGAAAAAACTGTTCTTATCTTATAAGAATTTATTTAATGGCAGATTTTTTAATACATTTTATTATTATTATTTTTTATTGTATAACATCTAAAATTCACATATTTAGCGAATTCAGTGTTTTTTTTTCCGGGAACAAAGAAACAGGCTTCACAGGCTTCATGAGAGAAACATCATGTTGAGATTGAGAGATTTCTTTTGTCACTCAGTCACTTCAAACTTGTCATTGTACGAAGCTGATCTATAGCGAAGGCTTTGATCGCACGTAAAGTTCAGGGAAGAATATTGCAGCATTGTAAAAATAACGCATGCATTATTATATAAAAATTGTATTTTTATCTTCTTCCACGTGTATATTGCGAGAATTATATTTTTTTACATACTCACGTGCACGTATTGATGTTTCGCGTATTTCAGTCTTTTTTGGAAAAAATGGCTTCTCTTTGAAATAAAATTTACTTTTATTTTTTTTTACATAGAACACGCATGTAGATTTAACATAAAATGAGATCTTCTTAAAAAATATATTTGCGAAAGATACTTTAACGTTTGCTATTATTTTTGTGGATAAACTTGGATTTTAAATTCGGCCACAATGGAATGTTGTATAAAGGTTATTACGAGGTGTACTACCTAAAAAGAAATTTTGCACAACGAGACATGTGTGTATGTTCCAATGGGGCTGAAAGGATTAAGCTGCAATATTAATCAATACAAAAAATTGCGATTAGTTAATCTTTTCGAATCGAACAGTTCCTCGGTGGAGCTTAATCAATTATATAGTTACTTATATAATCAGAAACACTGGATTAACATTGTTCGGCTTCTATATATACATACAGACCTATATATTTGTTCTTAATAATCATTCTAATTATCCGCGTTCTTACCTAGTGCGCAGTGTCACGTTGAATGGTTAAACTGCGCTTTAAAATACAAAAGGAAAAGAGTACAATAAATTTACGTAAGTTTTCACGTAACCTTTGGCACTCTATGTGTATTTGCTACCCTCCTATGAGGTGTTTGAAAAATTATATTAACTTCTCGAGAAAAATATAAAGTGCGTACAATAAATGAGATAATTTCTTTTGGGCATTTAAAATGTACCACTTTATCCTTATGTCTCGTTTGTTTGACGTTACGTTAAATTTATGACAATGCATGATATAACATCTGCAATTACGAAATTAATTTTATTAATTAACCTCTCACCGCGCGTTTTCTGATTGTGAGTATATAAGTAATATACTCTTCTCGGAACTCTTGGCATTGACATGCTTCCTTCGCGCGACGGCTAGAAGCGAATGAATAGAGCAAGGTGCGCGAGAGAGACGGAAACTCGTACACGGTACGGTTAAGGCTAACCGGTTTCTCAGTTCTCTCTCTCTCTCTGTGTGTCTATATGTGTGTGCCGATTGCATTTTCACGTCCTTTGGTTAACGCGGCTAGAGAGGTGTTGCGAAACCACCCTTGCGAAAACAGGTCGAACGAAAAGTTGGCCAAGTGATCGTAATGCGGCCGTATCGCGGGGCTAATGCGAATTGGAGAGCCATTCTCCTCGAATTAGAAATTCTCAAATTGTCCTTTCTCTCATTTGCGAGAGAAATATATATTCTCCAGCCTCGCCGAGAATGACTCTGCAAGTTCGCGATGCGTAACACCGGAAGCGTGCGGGAAGATCGCGAGGGATCAGGTGGACAGTTCAAAGATCTTTAGCGTAATTTCGGAATTGTTGGAGTTTAAAGCGGGTTACACATTGTGTACAAGTTACATCGAGCTATTTAGCTATTTTAAATCCTTTCAGAATGTTATTGCTTGAAGTAAAACAAAAACAAATACTTTTGTTGCTCAATCTTGTAAAAAAAAAAATTTAGGCTGCAATGTAAGATTGCTTTACAAAAATCTCTTTGTTTTACAAAATGTCTTGATATTTACGCGCAGTCACGGTTGATATTACCTTCAAATTAATTTAGACGGCGACTGATCAAAGATGCCACGAATGGATAACCGGGAAAGTCATGGATAAGTCGAGCCCGGAATAATTGTGTAGGACGAAAGTTTTATCATGGGACACCGTAGACGGTCGTCGATAAATAAATCAATTTTGCAGCGAGTTGCGTGCGACGTATAAGCGTCCGTCACGTGCGGACACCACAAACAAATCACGGCTTCGCCGTTTGCGATGCAAACGGATGCTGTAACGTGACATTTCGCTGGGACATCTATTTCCGTACCTTTGTATTAGGCCTTTTACGGATCTACACTGATAATTGCCGCGTATCCTCGTATATAGACTCGCTTTGTATTCATAGTCTGTTATACTAATTCGGTAATAATTAGCGAGAGAACCGGTGGAACCTATACATTTGTACAAATTAATTCGAACGACGCGGAAAACGGAATATTTATACTTGGAAAAAGAGACGAAAAAGATACTTTAAACATCATTTTTAACAAGGTTATAGATAAAAAATTTCAATATAAATTTAAGAAAACTATGACCTATATATCTCAGACATGTCTGAGGGGTTGTTGCATGGTGTTACGATTTGTAATTTTGCGAGATTTATGAAATAGGATTGTTATCAACTTATCACATATGTCTCGGCAGAAACGAGAAAAATATTGTGTGCACGTTACAGATTTAATTATTCCAAACTACATTCGGTGGATTAACTCATTTTTGCACAACGCCGTGCAATCGGGGGCGTAGCTCCTTGGGAATGAGAGAGAGAGAGTGAGCCACCATTCTATTTTCTCGGGTGTCGGATAAATCTCGAGCGTAATCGGCGAACGGAATCGATAGTCGTCAATGTGGTGGTCGTGGTTATCGTCGTCGTCCTCGCGGTAGTCACGGGGCCGCGAACGTGAAGCGGTGCCTTCTTATGCAATAATTTTTCCGAACAAATGCGGCCGGTCGGTCGATCGGCGACGGTCGGCGAATAATGAGGACAGTGAAAGGTTCGAGAGAGAAATACACAGAGAAAATGAGAGAGAGCGAGAGAGAGGTTCCGCGCGTAAGAACGTCACGTTTGCCGAACATGTGATCGAGGACCTTTTTTCCCGATCGTGACCGGTTTCTTGGGAATTTGCGTGACTGACTTAGTTTATATCACCGCATGTCTTTTTAATGTATGTACAAGTCAAAGTAACATACACGCATCTTTTCGCGGTTTATTAACGCATTTATCTATATGTTAACTATATATTCGTGTCGCTGAAACACTTAATTTTTGTATAAGAATGCATCTTTTCTGGCATGCTCGTATTCTGACATTTTTCTTTTCTGTTTTTCCCATTTTTTGCTACTTTTCGTACATAACACATCCTGTTACGTATATTTTCTCAAATGTTTATTTATTCGCTCGTTCGTCACTTTTATTACATAACATTGGTTTAATGACACAATTCTTAGATATTCTCTTAACTTTTAATTTCGTAATTTATTTTGCACCCCGGTACGAGCATTAAATTAAATCCAATCCAATTTAAGACGAAATTCAGAATTATTTGTAAAAGTCGTACCAATTTTCAACACAGCGGACTACTTGGGCTAAGGCATGCATTACGCTAAGTCGTGCATACTTGTTGCTGATCAAGCGATCGGTGTAAACTAGGCCGCTTTCCCGAGCGGCCGAGGCCGTTGAAAGATTACTATGTCGCGATTTTGCAATCATTTCGCACGTTGCCGGGATCGTGCGCGCTATGGAAGGAATCCCGACCAGGATTCTTGCCCGCTGATCGCGAGTTATGACCCACAATTATCGCAAGGATGCGTCGCAGGATTGTACAATTCACACATTTGACGAGCGCATTGCAGTCATAATTATTGTTATATCATGGAATTCACTGCCTCGCGTCATGCTTTATCGTCGCGACGATGACGATGTCGCAAAATCGATGCCTCACACGTGAATGAGACCTGCGTGTTTCCTTTTCTTCCGGGATTTCTGACATTTGTGCGTACACGAGCAACGACTTTAGTCTCCTCTTAATTGACATTCATATTCGTCATTACTGCATGCTTCTCGTTTATTGCAAATTTTCTGACCGAGATCAGCAATGATATGAGGGTGCCAATGAAAACACTGAAAACACTCGAGGTCCGACTCGGTAACCGGACGAAGATTCAGTAGTCTGTCGAGTTTTGCGTCAGACGTCCCGCGTTCGCCGAAAAGTAGCGTAGACCGAAACGGACGTAGTGATCCGTGAATCAAGCGTTGAAGAGTATTGACGGTTGTACATAGAGAAAGAGTTGAAGTACAAATCAGATTGCAATAAATAAATATCATTTAATGCAATGAAGATCATTTCTTCGGATATGTTGTTTTTAAAAACAATTTAAATTTTCGTTGTTATCTGTTACAGCAGCGGCAGCTCGGTCTCGAGGAACAGCAATCGCTCCGAAAGCAGCGGCTACTGCACTAGACGTCCCTCGACCTTCGAATCCAGGTAACTCCGTCAATCGATTGATTATTTATTAAAACGACTCTTTGGTATCTATAAGACAAACTGCGCGGCTTTCGTAAAGCAATCGAAAGACGATTGAGAAATTGAGGAAAGATATATAAAAATAACGAGGTTACCAATATCAATTCAGATATTGGATTGAAATTAATCTGCCATTGATTTCATATAATGCGTCGAATTGAATGAACAGAGTGTGCAAACGTGTCACAGAGCCGGAGCCGTTTAATAACGTGGGGCTATTTAGGGCGCCGCCGCACGCGCGGATTTATCGCTTTGAATACCGGTCCTCTGGCAGCTCAATCAGGTTGCAAATAGAGTATATTCCGTGACTGATTTGCAGAAGCGGATATTATAATTGTCAGAGATTTCTCTGAAAAGATCCGCAAAAGCAGGTACACTGAGATAAAAAATTTTCTGCATTTTAGTAAATATTAGTTTGCATACAACTGTGACTCCATTTACTAAAATGAAGAAATTTTTTCTTTTTATTAGTATATTTTTTTCTCAGTAAATACACATATACTAATAAAAAGGAAATTTTTCTTCACGTTAATAAATAAAGTCACAGTTGTATGCAAACTAATATTTATTAAAATGCAGAAAATTTTTTTCTCAGTGTATAGAGAATGGTTAATTATCCTCGATGTATCGCTCCTTATTAAAGGTCGGCGTGAAGGAAAGATCGTTCTTTTGAATTAATAAATTATTTCGGAAAAACCTTATAGCTTTCTGGAACCGACATATATCTCGACATAAATCTCGTTATTCAAAAGCGAAATAGTTATATAACCATCTAAAGACGTATACGTATCTCTGCAAATTAAACTTGCTTAATTAAGACTTATTAAGACTTATAATTACAACTTATTAGAAGAGCATTCGTCGCGAACGTTCTTCTCGTAATATCCTGTGACAAACGAGTCCTCAATTCTTTTTAGCGTGGAATGACTTGGGCGCGCGATTAAATAACTGTGCAATGCAAATACTCCATCGTCGACTCTCCCGGGGCGGAGATGACGGCCGGCAATCACGTACGCACAGCAGTCGTGCTTTTAAGCATCACCACCGCGTAATCGCGTTGCATAAATAAAATGGTTAAAGTTGGTTACGAAGAGGGACCAACGCCGATGCAGCAGCGGCGCCGTAAACACCGACGCACGTGTCGCGCCACGTGCCGTCTAGCGTCTATAGGTATTCATCAGACACTCCCGCGTATTGTTACGTAATAGATAAAGTGAGATGAGGCGCGATTATAATAAGCGAATATCGATCCCGAAACTCACGGCCGAAGTTGATCGGACGATTAAATTCCGGAGAGATTTCCACGAAATTTATCACAACTAGTACCGTTACGCAATCTCACGTGCTTGGCGATCCATCTGAAATGGAATTTCGCGGAACAATTTCAAGAGATTTCAATAGACTTAATTATAATTGGTTTTTAAAATAAGAAACCTCCATGAAAAGATTCTCTATATTAATTCCAAAAATACAATTGAAATGTTTTCTGGACATTGATCTTTAATCAATATTGATCTTTAATTAATCAACGATATAAAGTATTCGTTGACCTGCCTGGATCGCTAGGAACTCATTGGAGCTCAGTTAATATTAATTGCTAATAATTGAGCGTATCGATACAATATGCATTTCTTATAGCATGTTGGAAAATTTTCCTTTCAATTTCATGACAAAGCAACTCGATCTATCAAATTGAACGAAGAAGCGAATAAAAGCATGAAAGAAGTGCAAATTAAATGCATTGTATTGTAAGTAATGTATTGTCCATGTAACTTTGTTATTTAAATTTTGCAGTATTCGAGTAATCCTATCATATGTTGCTTTGACGAAGGCTTTGAGAGAAAACTATAGTCATCGGGGAGAGATGTACACGATCATTAAAAGCACGTTGCAGTAGTCACGCGTAATAACCTCACGTTGCGCGTTTATTTTTGTATGGCTTTACTAATATAAAAAGCAAGTCTCGTTTGTAACGACACTTTTAAGTAGCTCTGATGTGATCAATGGCGATTAACTTACCATTCCTAAAATTGATCTGCCTAAGATTGACGTAGGTACGTAATTTTATCGGAAACTTTATTTAAAAAATAGCTAATAATTTCTATATCGTAGAATAAAATAAAGTTACATTAATATTTTATAATGTAATATAACAAAAAAATACATACCTATGTATTTATGCATAAAATTCTATTCATTACAAAATGTATTAATATATAAATTCACATAATCCTTAAAATAGGACAGATAATTGAATCGCGGTTAATTTCGGCGCATCTGCGTCAGTGTTGCGTTTATTGAACAATCGTAACCATTCATTAGATAACGTCCGAATGTAACGTCGAAACGCTATCGCGATTAAAATAATTCGTATCTCAGCGTGAACGAAGCGCATCCATTGTATTGGGCTACTTGCATTGCGTGTTTCGCATTGTTTAAAACGAGGCGGTTCGGTTATAATTACTGATTGCGTCAACACAATAAGAAAAGTAACGGAGCGATTACGAACGAGGGTATAATCTCGCCGGGGTTCTTTTCCAACTTATTCTCAGCATTGCCGATTATAGACTTTATTGTTAGGCTAAAGCCAAAAAGATAAATTATGCAGATAGTCTTATGCCTAATCTCTATCTTTATCATATCAGCTTTAGATATAGGTTTAGTATTGTAATTAATCAACGATTAACTTTTGTAAGTACTATTTTATTCAAATGTAGGATAGAATTATTAATTTTTTCTTTATTAATTCTTATTGTTTATTGTTAACATGCGGAGAGAAAGACTAGATTAAGGACGAATTATACAGCTAGAAATTTTGCCATAAGCAATTTTGCCGGTTGAATTAGTCGACGATTAAGTTAATCAAAGTTCGGTCGAAACCGCTCTTAATGATGTAATCTCTCTCTATTTACGCGCGAGAAAAGTGCACGCAACGTGCGATCGGGAAGATTTCCGGTAAAGCCTCGGAGCAATCGATGGTTAGGTGAATATGAACTTTCTCTTACTTGTGTAACGCGTGATAGTCACGTTTTATAGATTTTTTTATATCAGGACTCTCTTGAGAAAGCTTTCCGGGAGAAAGTCTGTTATCTATGTACTTATAGATTATTACAATTGTGCAGCGTGAGAATGCAAAGCTGCAATAAATTAAACTTGTCAAATAATATTGGTTTGATTTTACAAACAGTTTTTCAAGCAAGATATATAAATAATATTTATTTAATTTGTATGTATAATTTTATATTTATAATTATTATTTACATATTTATAATATATATTATTTTATATAATATTATATATACATATACATACGCGTTTAAACATGAATCGATTAATTTGATTATGATTATTTCTAATTTACGATTGCTCATTAGCGTTATAACGTTATCTCGGATGTTGCGATTGCAACGTCAAATCGTGTTGGGAATATTTCCAATGTTTCCTACGTTTGCCCGCTCTTTCAACGGAATATTTCCCCTGGAGTTTATTTTTAGACACGCGTGAGTCGCGAGAACTGCGTTTATGCACGATTCCCGCTTATCAACGCAGTTCCCACGTTGACACTTGCCCGTCACGTGGCCCGGCGTGACACGCCGATATTATCGATCTGCATTGCGCGATTGATCTACATTTCAAAGTTTCGCTATTGCGTCAACGGTCAAGAACTCGAGTTTTGCGAAAGAACGTGAAAGATAGTCTTTCATCTTTTATTTTATCCTAAATTATATTTATACATGTTTATATCCCATTTGTTTTAAATTCAACGGAAACTGGTAATTTTATGCGTTTCGGAGACTTTCCGTGAAAGCAATCGTCTGCAAATCGCAATAGATGATAATCGACAAATCAACGTTCACATAAATTTTAATAGAAAAACTGTGCATAGCGAGAGTTTGAAATTACTTCTTACAATACAATTAGATTTGGAGGTAGCGTAAAGGGTTGCGCGATGTCTCACGATTTTACGTGCATTGTATGTACAGTAATGACGCGCTGCCGCAGCCGATCAGCAAGAGGAAGGACAAGGAGCACAAGAAGAAGAAGTCGAAAGCGGTGCTCAACGCCGCCGCCGAGGCGGAAGCCGACACGAAGACAGTGACCGCGCTACCGGAAGTCGCGTCGTATAACGCTGCCGTGCCGGCAAACACCGTACTTGACCAGAAACCAGGTTGGTTACGATCCACAAAAGCAGGGAACGAGTGCACGCGAATTGGCTCTTCTTTCATTGAGATAAAAACTACGGTTTTTACTCATAAATTTTATTCACTGCCACTTTGTTGAACTAAATCGACATGAAATGCTCTGCGAGATCGATATCGCTGCGCGCCGAGAGCTTATCTCGTTCTCCTGTTTGTTTCTCGATAAGCTGATTTCGTGATGCACTCTTCCTGACCTTTTTCGGGTGTCGCCTTACTACTTCCTAAGGCTTCGACATGGAACATTCCCCTCATGGTTATCCCTTAGTCCGGCTAGTATCTCGTTGAAATAATATGATTTACTTTGTTGAGCAGCTGATTACTTTAAAGCTCAGCGGAGGCGCTAGTTTGGAAGATAATCGTCGAAAAATTTAAGCTAGGCGCGAATAAAGTAACATGACTCTAGAATTGTATTTGTCGCGTGTAAAACGGCAAATGGTTTGTTGCAAGCGATAAATAAAATTTCTTTTAATTGCCTACAGTGAGAAATATCTAAAATAAGTTCATGGGAGGCTCTTTGAGATCGAGCGCTTATACGTCGCTGATGACTAAAGGTCTTCCTTGAAGGAGAAAAACACGTTGACGTCACGTTTAAACCTTTCGCGAGCGCATGTGATATGCAGGTATCATCACGCGTTAAAAGCAACCCCTTTCTCGGTTCTTTCATCGTCATCGCCAGAGAAAATCGTGACACGCGGCGAAGTTTACTCGAGTGGGGTGTAAAATTTCCATCCAACGTGACGAGTTACGCTTGGAGTCTATCGAAGTTATCGATCCCTCCACTAACAGGTTTACGATCAGCCAAGCGTCACCTGTTGCTTTATTTAAATTTTTTCGCCCGCGAAAAAATCAAGTATAAAGAGATTTTTATGAAAAATTTTGACAGATTTTTTTAACAGAGAAAAATATTTTGTCAGTTTGAAGGTTCACGCAAGCATCGTATGCGCGCAATTTTCTTCTTAACAACGTATGCGCGTTATGTAAACTATTGCGAAACTGATCTATAAACGAGCAGCGAAGCCGTAGGAGGACATATTTAGTCACGTTTAAAGCGCAAAACTTCCCTTACGGCGTAGATTTCTTTGTTTTATTATGGAGTATATTACCCAGGTAGAACAGAAAGTTATACAATAAAGTCAAAAGACGTAAAATGACAAAAAATCGTTATTTTGACATCATTTTGACTTTATTGTGATTTGTTGTTCTACCTGGGACAGAATCGCAAAACTTTAATAGAGAATTTAATCTAGGACCATCCTTTTCATTTCGAATTACATCGTAAGATGTGCAATCTTATGCAATTATCTTTCCCCGTTACCCCGCTGTTACCAAAGAATACTGGCTGACTATTTTTAACGAGTTAATATCAACCCTCGCGCGCGTTAATTCGAGATGCAGCAGGTACGTTACGAAATCACTTTCGTCCTGTGTTCGTCGCTTGCGCGTTATTCCTTTATATTTACGTAAGCGTTTACGTCGTCGTTTATTTAACCTTTTCATCAGCGCGGAATTAAATATAGTGCTATTAAAAACACCTAATCGCCCTTCGTTAACGCTGCCTCGCTTTTCAGCCAGTAATAGAATATATCGCCCTGCAAGATGCATAAAAAAACATTGATCCCGAAAGTAAGGAAGTTAACGTAATAATAATTAAATTTTTGCACAATAAAAATCTGTTATAGTCGTACATATATTTTTTTTTTGCCAAGAAGTGATATTAATCGATAAAGGCAATTGATATTGCCGTATGATTAGTCACGCTTTCACTTAGATGTCATCATATCGCACGATACGCCCGCACGTCTTATGCGCTCGCGAAGAAACCACAGTAAATGCCTTTCACCGGGAAGTAACGATGTAGCCGGAGGTAGCATATCACCTGGAGTAATGGCATTGAATTTTCTTACGAGTGTTACGCTAGCAGTCGCTTACGTGACAATGATTTTATCACAGATTTCTATAACTAGATTGCTAGCTCCGTAAGATGAATGTGAAGCCAATTTGATAAGAGAGAGGACAGCCATCTTTACCTGGTCATGATTTACCCGGACCAAACTATAGCATCTTTTAAGAATCACCTTAATCGTAAGTTTATTGAATACTTTATATATATGCTCTCAGAGAAGAGCCTACACCATCTGATGCTATTTTTATTTTAATTATTATTTAATTTCTTCATTTTTTTTTTTTTGTAAAACTAATATTTATTAATTATAGATACTTACCGAAATAAAGATATATTAGAACTTTTATTATTGCAATTGCAATAAGACTACACACTTATAAAGTATTTTTTTAATTATTCCAAAACGGTAAAAATGAAAAAAATATAAGATTTTTCTTTTTCAAAATTTTATTGCAAATTTACAAAATATAAATTTAATTGAAGCGAAGGGGACATACTAGCACTACTTCACAAAGTATATGATGACCGGGTAAATATAGCGTCCATAACTCCAAGCTGTCTCGTAACAAATATACGTTAACAAACTATAGCATTATAGCGATCTAGTTATAGAAATCTGTGGAATTTATGCGAAATACGAACAATCGTTTCCACGTTATTTTGGACTAAGGGAACACTGATCGCCCTTTCCTATCCTTCACTCACGAAGCAGGTCTCGCGATATACAACTCCTTTATGTTCATGATTCTCTTTTTAAACTCTTTTTAATTAAATTATTAAATTTACCATTACGTTTTATTTTATCGTTTTTATCTTAAAAAGGAAAACGCGCGGAATGAGGGGCGTTTCGATACATTATGAGAAGATGTCTTTCAAGAACATATTTCCTTTCATAACATTTGCTATATTTTTCTGTTATTTCGATACTGATACAATCAAATAGTTTGCCTATATACTGTAGGGGATCTACAGTATATAGAGGATCTATTTGATTGTAATTTGAAGTGAATTAATTTTTATTTTATATAATACATTTTAAGAGATTTACTTTATAATAATAATTTTATAATAATTATGGAATTGGATTATATGTATATATACATACATAAATTCAAATCCAAAAATTCTACATCACTTGGGCTCGACTCCTCCTCATTCCTTTTCGCTACCATTATCCCGATAACCGTCAGCGACTTGGGCAGATTGGGCCGACTTGGGCCCGAATAGCAGCGCATATAACAACGAGAATTTCTTTTGGTGCTTTAATGCAAGAAGAGGTGACCACCGTAGAATTGGTGGACGCAACGGATCCCGGCGAGCACAACGACGACACCGTCGCAGACCCGGAAGCAGGACTTGCTTCACGAACGGTCCCCCTGGACGATTCCACGTCTCAGGCCAATGTTAGTATACGTCGATAAACGTAGTAGAGGGAGATACAAAAGAAAACACACATACACACATGCTAATGTCGATAGAGCGTAAAAGGAAAGAAATAGGCAGAGACTCTCAAAAATCGCACCGTGCGATCGTAGAGGCAAGCTTGCTTGAGACGCGACGGATATGGTTTCTCGTAACCCGCCGCTTCCTGTAACTCGTTTCTGACGTCATAGTTGCGGATTATGGTTGCAATCCCGCATTGGGGTACACCGAGGGAAATATTCGGGTTTCCTTTTCTTGATGTATATTCTTTTTTATTCTTATGTTTTGGATTCTGATTTTTATCAAAATGTCACGCAATGTTTTTTTTTTCTTTTTTCTCTCTCTCTCTCTCTTTCTCTCTCTGTATATCTTCTCGGTGTACATGATATTGGCGACTCTCTTTATCTGCATGGAGAAAACTGGCTAATCGTATAGGATAATTGCACAACTAACTGTCAAAACTCCTCCTCGCGAGGTTTACTGACTTGGTTACGTGACTTGCCTCTAACCATCACGAGAGAGAATGTCCAAAAATATAAACTGACTAACATAACGGCAGGTTATCTCAGAAATCTTTTAACTAAATTTCTTCCTACTGATGTTTCTCCAACGATTAATTTTTTCTATAATATAATTCTCGCATGCGACGGGAATACTGGCAATTGAATTCGGTGTGAGAAGTCTTTAATCTGCCGGTGATAACGTGACAGATTTAAATTTCGTCTCTTAAACGTCTTGCGATGATTTTCAGTAATTAAAAGTCCGCGTCAATTTTTTGTTGCTCTTAGCATTACTAATATTCATTATATTTTATTTCAACATTTGTCTTTTTTGTTACGCGAAGGACGAAAAGAGCATCCAACATCACGTTATCATTCACATTTAGATCGTTAATGTCAGCGCGTTACGTAGATCAGCTTTCTAATTTACTGATTGTTCTGTAGGAGGGATTTTGCGCGGTGATTTCGATGCACGACGGTCTCGTGCTGTACACAACCCCGTCGATATGCACCGCCCTTGGCTATCTCAAAGACGCCTGGATCGGTCGATCTTTCATCGATTATGTGCATCCGAAGGACAAAACCACCTTGGCCGATCAGATCACCAGTGGCATCGCCTCGCCGCAAGAGGAATCTAAGGGTATATAAAAATTTTATTCTTTTATTCGGTAGACATTCCATCTTGTAGCGAATGTATTTTTATCCTAGATATTATTATTACTATATATTACAATCTCTTTTCTATGATTATTATTTGTATATTTTGAGTGGCTGAATTATAGATTCCCCGTGTCTTTATTTTCGGGAATTAATTTACGAATTATTTTGTCATTATGTGACTTCTGGATGGTATCAAGCAGATTGTCTCTATTTAGGCATCAATGGCAGAAGAGCGAGTTTGTTCTGCGGCCTGCGGAGGTTTACCAGGTACAACGTGCCGAAAGGGTATCGCGCGGACGCCAGGTCGAACTTGTACCTGCCATTTCACCTGACCTTGTCGTTCCGGGACCGAACGGCCGAGCAACAGCCCAGCAACCGAGTTATGTTCCTCGTAGTTACCGCTCAACCCGTCCATTCCGCATACAAAGGTAGCATGGTCCAAGGTCTTCGACGAGGTCCGACCGGCGAGAGGACTCGATAATTACAAACAGTCAGCTTGATTGTCGCAAAAGTTAGCGGCGAACGAGCGATTTAGCGCAATGATCACCAATGCGGATCGCGGCGAGATGGTGATGATCCGAGAAAGATTCTGCGGATCGCCGTCGATTCGAAGTCGAGTTACTTCGAGGAATATTTTCTTCCACAATATTCTTCCTACTAAATTCTCGCTTGCAAATATAACAATCGCTTGGAACATATCCCCGTGGAATAAACGCGTGCCCAAAGTGAACGAGCAACTCCGCTGAAGTGACTCGAATTTACAGGATGTATCCGGAATACATGTGGAAAAGTCGCAGGGGTATTTCACGCGGTAACTCTGTTCTCTAATCTCACCCAATTGCCTATACGTTCTCAAGATACATCCTGTGTCCGTTATACGTAACAACACTTCGCGATGATCGAGAATTGTCGTTGGTCCGACCTCGTTGACGATACTCACAGTCGGTGATTTCCATGGAAAAAGTCTAAAACGAAGGTAACTTACTTCCAATTTCTCAAAGTCGCCCGCACGGCAGTTCGTGACGATATATACATTGACATACCGTTCGCATCTTTGCCATATTTTTCGCTGTGCCATTTTCTCCTCATTTTTTAAATCACGGTTCCCCGTTTTTCGTTCAGTTTGGAGATCACTGTTACGAACGCTCGTATCTCACGAGCAACACGTCAGACCGCATTCGTCATTTCTCACGACAATGGTTCGCTCGCTTCGCTTTTGTCAGTGCATGGGAACGCTTCTATCTCCGAGCACAATTCTCTGCATTCTCTGCATTCTCTGCACGAGCTCCGTTACTCAATTTTTATTCGCATTGGTAGACCTTGTGTTGGGTCAAAAGGGTTTAAATTTTTCTTATTGAAGGTAATCTTTGGAATTTCAGTCTCAATTCGCAATATTTGTTTCGTTATCGATTATACTATTTTATTTATTAATTTTATTCTATTGCAAACGTTCAAGTTCCAAAAAAGACTTATTCTCTATATATAAATAAGGAAGAAGGGTCGCGAAACGAAGTTCCGAAGTTTGCCCGTGATCAGTACAAAAATTTGTTACGGAATTGCTTAGCTTTATCTTTAGAACGGGTATGTAGACAATTATGAACAGCTTCAACCAGCTTTTCATGCATGGATTTCGTTTTAACCGCGCCAAAACTAATTAATTAGCAGCGTGCCCTCCGCGTCTCGTCCCGGCTTGTTGGCGCCTAACCATTGCGATAACTCGAAGTTCTGCTCTAATCTCGCTCATAAAGTAATAACCCGGAATGAAAGAATGACCCCGACTTTGTCGTTATCCGCAGCGCCAGAAGAAACAATAATATCTTCGGTATTCACAACCCGCCACACCGCGACATGCCACCTATCCCATGTCGATCCCGACGTAGTCCAATACTTTGGCTATCTACCACAGGATATGGTTGGCCGTTCGCTGTTTGACTTCTACCACCCCGAGGATCTACCTTTCATCAAAGACATCTATGAGAGTGTGCGTGCGCGCAACAAAAAAAAAAAAAAAAAAGAATAAGAGAGAGAGAGAGAGAGAGAAAAACTTAGGTTCCCCCAGGAGGGAGGTCCCGTCCCTCGAAATTTCCCGGATATGAAGGTGCGAGAACAATTCTCGCATGTGTTGAAATGTAACTTATATTATTTGTATGAGCATCACGATATGATGGGGGATAAGATTTCCAGACGGATTTATATATATATATATATATATATATAGTGTTTAGAAGTACATGAAAAAAACAAAATTTATGTGACACACGGAGCAACACATTTTCATGTAGTTTTAAAATAACTATATGTGTGTATTGTGATCTAGAAAACTCATGTAAGATAATTTTCAAGAATTTTTAGTTATGTTTGAGAAAGAATTCCTTGCTTCGATTTTTTGTTTTTCATTATATTGTCAAAAAAATGTATAACTTATTTCAAATTTACGAAAATATCTTGTGTGTTATGCATATTGCTGATCTTTGATATGTATTATAGGGGTCGCCCTCCTGAGTGCACGCTTGACAAGAGAAATTCGAGAGATATGCGAGTGAGCTTGAAAAAGAGAGAAAGAGAGAGAATGTGAGAGAATGAACGAGCGTTCAGATATTCCCTAAGTGTCACGGCCATAAAACTCATGTAATTTCTTACAAAAATGTCGTTGAACAGGTGATCAGGCTCGAAGGCTCCTCCTTCAGGTCGAAGCCGTACAGGTTCGCTGTGCAGAACGGGGGCTGCGTCGTTCTCGAGACCGAGTGGTCGTCCTTTATCAATCCCTGGACGAAAAAACTAGAGTTTGTCGTAGGTCAGCATCGGGTGCTCAAGGGGCCGGTGGATCCGGACATCTTCCGCGTGTCGCGCGACACCGAGTGCGGCTACCTGGCCAGCATCAGCGAGGAGGTGCTGAAGGAGGCCAAGATCATCCAGGGCGAAATACGGGCGCTTCTCGACCAGGTACGATCAACCGACGAAGACGACTGCGTCACACACATTATAACACTACCCCTCCCTCTCGTGCGACTCGCGATCCACTTGCTTGAAACTTATTGAAGCATCTTCCTATTGCAATTCCAATAATTTTGAAATTAAAGAGGCCGGGACCGTTGTAGAATCGCTTTTATCAAGTTCAGATTCCTCAACGACGCAACCGTAATAGTTTTTAATTTAATAGCGACAGGACTCGCTTAATATCGCGCTGCAAAGTCCAGGCAAAGAGGTAGTTAATCGTTCATGTACGTCTGTCCGTATGTGAGAAACGCAGATGAGGCGTTACCATATAATAAAGAGAAAACAAAACGAGAATCTCTCACCACGAGGCAGAGATCAAGCCGACTCATCCCCCAACTTGTCCTCTTTTTTTTTTCTATCGTACGTGTACGCAGAGCATCCAGAGAACGTCAGATATCACCGAGCACGACGTGTCGAAGCGATGTAAGGATCTAGCGTCCTTCATGGAAAGTCTGCTGCAGGAGACGAAGGTGCCCGGGGTCGGCAAGGACGGACTGCTCGCGGCGGACGAACTCAGGAGCTTTTCGGTGACTATTAGCTACGTTTTAGTATCGCCGAGAACACTGTTACGCTAGTTACGCTATAATGCGCTCCGCTCTGGTATGCTATATCTATAACGTAGAAATACTTACCTCTGTATATGTGTGGGTATGTGTATGTATGTAAAAATAAAAGTCGGTCACGTTTCACTTCGCAACGGTACGTGGAAGATGTTAGCTCACATAATCATCTAATTTCGACGTATGGTATGCTTTTCCTAGTACATGTCTTTCTTTATTACTAATGTATATTGAAAACAATATTCAACATTCTCATGAAGTTGAATAAAAGGTAAAATACGAGAAGGATGATGATGGATATGTAAGTTAAGGAGAAAATGGTACGAATGTGTGGTACAAACAGAGAACAGAAATTGAAGGTGGTATAATTTCGTTCGTACTTCAGATTTCGTAGGGGCAGATTTCGCATGCAAAAAAAGGGCAAAATTATAAAATCGGCATCCTATTGTCTCTCTAATATGGAAAACTGAACTGTCGCGATTCTACCGATTCAATCGATCGCTGGGATCTAGGTGTCAGGAGGAGATGGAACGGATCCGGATGGTGAGATGCTCGCATGACTTGGATAACAACACGTATTATCCGCGCTTGCCGCAAGAGCTTATGCGGCAAGTTTGCGAATGGACCGGTCGGTAGGTGGTTTAGTTAGTTTAGTAGATAAACGAGGATCTTTCACAGCTTGTAGCGAAATTCTCTGTTTAACCGAGACTGATCTCCGCCCACGGCTGGCCGGCTGGCACTCACTCCACCGCTCACGCACAAAAAAATAAAGAAAAGCAATGCGACCACAGTAACGGCACTAAGCTGCATACCGAATCTTAGTGGAAACTCACTCTAAGTTTCTACAATATAATTGTGAAGGGATCTCGCAATCCCTTGTTGCAGGAGCACGACAGCGTGATGCTCGGTGAGATCTCGCCCCATCACGAGTACTACGACAGCAAGTCTTCCACGGAGACGCCGCCGAGCTACAACCAGCTCAACTACAACGAGAACATCGAGCGCTTCTTCCAGAGCAAACCGCCGGTCGCGACCATGTACGGCAGCGACGAGGAGAACGTTAACTCCAGCAACGACGAAGGTGGTAAGCATCATCCTTCTCTTCTCGCATACGCTTTTCACATTTAAATATCATGAGTTTTTCCTCTTCAAAAGAAACTTTTGATTTTGTGCGTTACATTTTAGAAATCTTAAATCTTTACCATGTTGATTTTACCCCAAGGGAAAATCCTTCTTTATCGTATCTTGTGTTGACTTACAATTAGTCGAAAATATATATGCACTTCATTAAGACAAATTTTCGTCGTGCTTTCAGCGCGGAAGTGCATGTCGCTGATAAACGGCAGCGGGGCAAGCGGCAGTGGTAGCGCGGAGAATCTGAGCAGCGGTTCCAACAATCAGACGAGCTCGGCGAGTCGGGGCGACGTGTCCAACACCGCCAGCAACAGCAACACCACCGCGACGGAAAGCTTCAAGCCGCCCACGCTGACGGAGACGTTGCTGAATCGCCACAACGAGGATATGGAGAAGCTGATGATGCAGAAGCACCGGGAGCTGCGCTCCAGCATCAAGAACAGTGACAAGCTGAAAGACTCGCGCATCAAGACAGAAAAGGTCAACGGCATAGATCAGAGCGCACATTATGCCAATCAGGGTCACGGAGTTAAGAGAAGCGGCAGTCATAGCTGGGAGGGTGATAGCTTCAAGGTATGTTTTATATATTTTTTCGGAAATTAATTTACTCGTCAGCTGAATAATTTTATTTTTGTCGCGTGGAATGGATAGACTTTAATTTCCGGTTTCAATATTAAAGATGTATTATAAATAAATATATAAATGTAAAAGCGAGTATATAATGCATATTAAATAAAATTTATACGAGTCTAAATACTCTAAATGCGATAATAATATGGAAATAGGTATCGAAGCATGATAAAATCTCGAGAACAAGCACGGCGGGTCCGGCGAACCTTACGACCACTTTCACCAGCATGAATATCGATCAATCGACCGTGGTGCAAACGGGGGCGAATATTAACTTGTGGCCATCGCTGTCGGTCACCATGCCTTCCTCTGCACCTACACAATCCTGCGTTCCATCTCACAAGTAAGAGTCTTTTTAAAATATTAACAGGAAATATAATATAAAATAATAATACAGATTACAGTATAAGAATATATTAACTTTGTTAATATTGAATATTTTATGAAAGGGTGATGACATTAGGTCTATAAAACACTCGGCTGTGTACCGAATATCACATAAAAATCTGTATAATAATTAGGAAGATAAAAGTTTAAACGATCTATGAATGGATATCATGTTTTCAAAAATATTTCAGTACCAATTCGGAGGCTGTACCCAGATTTCCGTTACTCCCGTCAGTGATACCGGTGTACTACATACCGGTAGCGCAACCCAACGAGTCTGCGACGACGATGTCGTCATCACAAGAGAAGCTGGGCCCACCGCCGTCAACGCAACCGACGCAACAGAGTCCTTACAGTAGGTGTCTCACTCGACAATAAATCCAAACAAAAGAGAACAGTAGACGAGTTTTTTCTTGTTATATCGATTATTGTTCTGTGCCTGATAGATTCGAATCTTTAAAAGAGATGTTCCCAAAGGCTTAGAATTAAATTAGAATTAAATCAGGTATTAAGTAGGTTTTCTATGGGGGAAGCTATAAAAGAATTTTAGTGTTTGCTCCAGTATCTTACGTCGCGACGGCGATGGCCGGAGTGATCTATCCGGCGGTGATCGGCGCACCTCCACCGCGTGCTATGATGTACCGACCCTTTCTAATACCCGAGCAAGCACCGGCGGCAACAACGCGCGAGAACCAGCAGCTCAATGACAAGTGTCCCGATCGCAAACGACCGGCCAGTCAGGCGACCAGCGTTAAGGCCGAGCCGGGGAGCACAATGGCCATGTCCGAGTCCTCCAAAAAGGAAAAGGCCGTATCAGAAGGCCTACTGATTATGAAGGATCATCATCGGCCGACTGACTACAACGGGGACGAGTCAAGCTCGTCCAGCTTCTATAGCAGCTTTCTGTACAAGAGCAGTGACAGTAGCTGCAATCCGGATCAGAAGACGTGCGAGGTCTCTTCCGAGGTAGAGAATCAAACGGCACAATGCCCAAAAGATGTTCAAGGGCTTCTCTCAGACCCTTATGACATCTAGATACCCGTATACTTAACTGTATGAGTATAATAAATGTGCAGGAATACACCAAATGTCATCAAGGAATGCGAAGGAAGGATCCACCCTGGCTGGAGGGCGTCCAACTGACGCCGGAGTTGATCTACGAGTACCAGATACATCCAAAGACACTGAACGAGGTGCTAAAGACCGACCTAGACGCGATGAAGAACTTCAATCAGCCATTATTGGTGAACGATCAACTGGGACAGCTCTATCTGGACCTGGAGATGGAAAGTTTCGGCACCAAGCTCATCCTCGAGGAGGGGATAACGTCGAGCGGAAGCGATAGCGAAAGTAGCAACGGCAGTTGGACTGAATCGCAGGTGAGAGGAACGATTAAGAACACATTGCAAAATTTATTAAGATTTATCAGAATATTTTGTGTATAACGCGTTTCGTTTAATCCGCTTGCAGCGCAAGCAGAGGAGAAGAATGGTGAAGTATGGCAAGCTAGTGATGATCCACGAGGAAAATGCGCCTCTACCATCTCCGTTGCCGTCCCAGACTATATCTTACGAGCATTCATAAAAGCTGCGATCAATCCATCACAAACAATAATCCCAAAAGGCACTCCGAAAGTTAGTGTTCGTTTCATCATGCTTGCACTTCTCTTAAATGGGTGCAAAATTAAACCGGAATTGATTTTTCGATCGAAAATTCCTACCGGAAAAATTGCAAACGCGAATTGACTTGTGTGTGTATATAAGCAACGAATGAAATGCACTCGGTGAGAAAATACGTAATTTTTTTCGATATTTGCGATTCCGGTTCTTACATTTTTTCTTGAAACAATTTCCAAATAAAAAGACAATCAAGGTGGATCATAAAATGTCATGAGACAGACCAAGGGTACAAAGCTCGGAAAGACTTTTGAAGTTGCCTTAGCCACAAGCAGTGAGTTCAAGTACATTTCCAAAAATTCCTAACGCGAAGTAGAATGCATAATTAAATACCTGTGAGATTCACATGAGATATTTGCACTTACATTATATTTATGTACAACGTGTCTCTCAGAGCCTTTCAATCCATCAGATGCAGATTTTTGATGGAATCATCGTGATTGAAAGAATGCGTGATGAGCTTTAGAAACATCTCGTAGAGAGTAGATAATATATACATAATTACGATATTAACGCAAGTAGAAATTCTCCGCAAAGCGTCGAAGACAGATTTATGATAAAAAAAAAAAAAAAAAAGTAAACCTGATGCATACATAATTTTCAATACCGTCCGCGTATACGTGTGTGTTATAAATAATTGTATGTGAATTGACCGAAAGATTTCTACAGTCGATTTTGTACTAATTAAACGGATAGCACGCACGAATAATGAATGGAAAGAAAATACTTTTGATAGCATAATTCTTGCGTAATGATTCGTTTTCCTATCGCTATTTTCGATGACCTTTTTTTCGTGAATGTTTACACGTAAAAATAACTTTACGAATATATATATGTATATATATGTAATATATATAAAATATATATATTTTATATAAATTTATATATTTAATATATATAAGTGAACAACTTCACGCGTGTCTTGCGAAATTAAATTGCACAATGAGTGTAAGATTTAGTTTTATTTCTGTACGATCGCGTATTCTTTTGTCTCACTTTCTACGTGGAAAGAGAGGACCAACACGGCCGTATTGGGCGCCCCGAAAGAATATATACCGATAACGGGACTTTTAATTATATTAAATTGTCGGCATAGCTAATATCGTAAGAAGAAAAAAGTAAAGAACAGTTCGTTATAAATCTGTTGCGAAATAATTGATTACAATTACGTGAACTTCGTTTACTTTCCATCAATATCAACATACAATCAGCAAAAATGTGTTCCTCAACACAAAAAGTTCCGTCATCGATACATATATCTTTGTTGCGTATGGAAATGGCTAAAAATCGCTAATAAATTACGCGAGAACGTGCATTTCATTCGAGATACGTACAATTACAAACCGTCGCTTGTAACTTCCTAGAGGTAATGATTAAGCAGAGAGAGAGAGAGAGAGAGAGAGATTGAGAGATTGAGAGAGAGAGAGAGAGAGAGAGAGAGAGATATGATCTACTACACAACGCACGTAGTATTAATACAATACTTGCGGTACTGTGTCGTATCGCGACTTATATATTTAGCGTTTTTACATCTCTGGAAGATATTTTAGACCAAAATATACATGGAGCGATATAGAAGACTAGTATATGTAAGGATATTTATATTTATATTTATAGATTATATGTATATGTCTGTCCTTTAGATTTAGATCATGTAATACGTGTTTCGTCTGTCTGCGTTTTTCACGCCAGTTTCCTTTAAAAGTTCGTATTTTTATAAAGATTCTTGTGACAGAACGCTATATTTTTTCCGATTTTATTCGCGCCCGATAACGCTCCATTTATCGGAATTTCGTAGATCCATGTTTGCCTGTTGAAAATCCCGTTCAAAAATTTCTAAGAATATTAACAGAAAAATGACACAATCTTAAATAAAACAATTTATCTTCACGCCATCTAATTTTAACATAATTTCCCTTGAAATCTACCAATTCAAACTTGACAGATTCCAAATTCTGATAAGCTTCCCCATAATTTAAGTTTTATTAAGATCTAAGTTTATTCTCCGTAAACAAATTCCGGATAAATAGAGCTGAAACGTGTGGCACAAGATAGAACGATAATGCGCATGATGACTATTGTAATTAGATATATTTACACTTGTATAAATCACGTGTTTAGAAAATAATACGTCCACGTGAAAATCGGTCGGGCTTCGCTGCGTCGATTACGTAACCGAAAGGACGGAGTTATATAATTGCAGCAATGGATCCATGCTCGACAAATAAATCTACTTCAGGAAAATTGTGGTCCAGTAAATTTAGCACGGATAAACTTTAACGATCCGTGTGTTGTGCGAATTGTTGCGATATATACATATGTACATATATTCGGGAGAAAGATATTTTGTATACTACGTATTTTTTTGTGCACACGTAGTTGTAGCGTATGGTCGACACGCGTATGTCAATCAGAGACGATATTTTATATACCAGTGATTAAATACGACACGGTTTCGGTTTCTCCGAAACACTCGCGAGATCTAGTCTGAATTACGACGTACAGTCGTATCGTTTCTGTAAACGGTTTTTCGCGCATAGAAATTAATTTCTACACAATACCATACACAGTGACCTAGATCTCAACCAAGGTAACTGAAAACGTGAGATTATCGATGCTGGATTTTAATGACCTTTCCGCCACGTGGCGGATCCTATATATCTTTTTGTACATAGAAATTATATTAATAGAGACGAATAATCGATTGTCATTAATGCTGGAGATTTTTATGGAAAAGCGCAGTAATAATTCGGCGAATTATTTAACTAAGAGCTGAATCGCACGTTTCATGGATGATCTGTGTATTTCTTGATAAAATTCTTTGTAGAATAATTCATAAATGATTATTAATAATTTTTACAGTAATTAAATAATATACTAATTATTAATTAATAATATATTAATAATTTATTACATATACATGTGTAAAGACCCGGATGTCTTTTAAAATCCAGTCTGCGGTATTCTCGGTCGCGTAAACTAAAAGCGATTCTCCAGCGCTAGCACAAGTTTTGTGATCACTCACGGAGGACCGATCGCTTTGGCCGCGACCATGTAACTAAGCGCAGTCTTTCTCTATCCGATAGAGGATGCTAATACACGTAATCGTAGAGCTTATCGTAGCATGTAAGGTGCGTCTGTGATCCGTCGAGCTCCGATTACGCAATGCAGACAGAGTAAAAAAAAAGATTGCGATGAGAGAACAAGCGTGGAAAAGTATCTTTCTACCTTGAAAAATTCTGCCCCACGACACCTTCGTTCATCTAAAGTATCTAAACTTTCCTAAGCACGCATCCTCTTCGTTTTCCTTCACCTATTCAATCCCTTTTCTTTCACTTATTGTCTATGTTCACTCATTATTATTAATATACACAGATTCTCCAAATAAGATATTTGCTGAAACAAAATGCGCGCCATATTGGCGCTTTTATATAAGTACAAAAAATAGAAAATATCAAAATATATATTTTCTTTGTTGTCTTCGTCAAGATACTACAAATTTCTTTTTAAGCAGTATCTTTTTTTTTCATTGCCATCGTGGTTCGAATAATGTTCGTTTGAACAGTCCCACTTCACTTCCTGATAAGATGGTTGATCCTCGAACGGTATGTGCAGAATTCGAAGGCATATTTGAAAACTTTTGTCGCGATTCCAATGATTATTTCTTTGCATTAACGATGTGGCTTTGCGCGATTAAGTAACATCTGTGCGCAATGCACGTAATTGTGTTTTATTTATAATATGCATAAGTCGCTGTAATATATTTCGTGATCTCCTTTTATTTCCTTCTCGTACGTCGAACGGCGCGAACGATAAGCGAAGAAACGTGAGTTTTTGGAACAATCATTTTGAAAATGTTAACACGTTCGCGTTTATCTCGAGTATTGCGCTTGATACGCAAATTTTGGTAATACATATAATGACGTTAATAGATGTAACATACGCTCATGTGTACGAATGTGTTTCATTCCCAGCGAATTAAATATATCTAATATTAAATATTATGTATTTATCGAGAACACATGTGTCTAATAAATATAATTTTGTTCCTACTTATCCACACGCAGCATGCGGCAATTGATTTTTTTTTCAACTTAAACTATCGCTTTACTTATCTAAGGTATTTTTTTTTTTGCGAAGTTCACCATACCATTTATTTCCATAAACCTTTCGCGAGATAAATCGCAAAGGCTCGGATGCGGCACTTCAATGGTATTCAATGGTATTTATTATCCAGGATTATTAAAAGAATTGCGATAATATTGTCATCGAATAAATTTTATTTTACTAACGCGTATGACTCATCAGAATAATATATACATGACGTAAATCACAGGAGGGCGAGATGAATTTACACGCAGGATGAACAAGGCGGATAGTACAGAAAATATACATTTATTGCACGAGTGAAGTGCGACTTCCACAACGATACTCTTTAAAATCTCTCGATACCGCCGTAAACTAATTATACGTTCGTTGTATTTCGAATAAATGCTAAAAAAGAAAGAGGAGAAGATGAATATTCCTCTATTGCAACTTCGTCAACGAATAAGACAAGACATATTCTCTCTAATGTGGCACGCGTACAGAAACAGATAATCCACAGATCCGTCTCGCGATATAATAAATATAAGCTAGAAATAATATTCGCCGTCGCTCCGCGAATTGCACGCTACCCGTTTTACCAACATATATAACACGTTTTATATTATACGGGCAACATATTTTGTGAGCTAACAAAATATAAATAAAAAATATATATATGTATATGTATGTATATATACGCCTCAGCTACAAAAGTCTATTCAGTGCATTGAAACATTCTACACACGCATACATTTTACAATATCTCAGAGCGAAAATAAACAATATAAAAAGACTAATTGTAAGACATTTTAAAAGTGTGTAAATTATTTAACATTACACATGCCCGTCAACAAGTCTGATATGAAAATTGAATATTATGTCATGTTGAGAAAATTGAGTGATTGCATATTAGCGTGTTAAATTAATTAATTTTAATCACACATGCATTCGCACACGTACAATCGTGGTGAACAGTTCTTTGAAGAAATGGCAGAAAAAAGGGCAAGCTTCTTCATTTTTGTACTTCATTCAATATCTTCCTCGCTTTCCTAGACGCGCATAAACTTTTGTAGCTGAGCGTGTGGCTAACAGAAAATCTTACGGATACTTATCTCAAGGAAACTGAGTTAATCGTCTTGAAGGAGACTCAGCGGGTCCTCGACGATCTTCTCGGCCGTTTTCTTCAGGTCCCTGGTGACCGGTTTCTTCACGACCGTTCTTGAACTCGGCGCGATCGTCGTCGTTCTCGCTTTCGACTCCGTCGACGTGGGTGGCTGCTTGCCGAAGATATGGCCGTCATCGTCGTCGTCGTCGTCCGACGCGAACAGGGACTTAGACGACGCGACGATTTTCTTAGGAACAACTTTTTTCGTGGCAAAAAGATCAACGTCGTCGTCATCGTCGTCGCACGGCGCGTTGCCAAAGATATCTTTCAAATTCGAGCTCTTGGCTTGAGAGTCGACTTGAGATTCGTGCTTAGGTTCCGAGAACGATGCGCTATCCGATTTTTGCGAATGGCCAGACGATTCGACGAACAAACTGGAATCGTCGTCTTCGTCGTCGTCGAAAATGTTCTTTTTTCGACCGGCTGAAGCAGGATTTGATGGTTGACTGTCCACCTTCGCTTTGCTGGACGAGCTGCCGAAGAGACTGTCGTCCTCGCCGTTCTGCGCATCGTCGTCGTCGCCAAAGAGACCGATTTTCGTGTCCCGCAACGGCTTTTTCACCGTTCTCTTCAACGGCGCCGCGGAAAATAAATCGCCGCCCATGTCATCGTCCGCGAACAAATCTAAGATCTCCTTTTTCGGCTCGTTCGGCTTCTTCGCCGAGCTGCTGGAGAAGAGACTGTCATCCGGCTCAGAAAATAGCAATCCCTTACTTTTCTCTGGCGATGGTGTTTTCGTGACAAACGCGAACAACTGACTAGGATCCTTCAGTGGATCGTGGGTGCTGTCGCGCAGAGGATCACTCGGCTCTTCGCTGGACGCTCTTCTCACCTCACCTCGCTCATCAACCACTTCCTTATGCTTATCATCTCTCTTTTTGGTACTCTTCGACGTATCTGAGTTGGTATCGACGTCCGATCGCGCCAATTCGCTAAAATTTTGTTTATCACTTTCGTTGTTCGTCGCGTTTACATCAGTACCAATGTTGTCGACCTTTCTGATCGCGGTATCTATTAAAGGTTCGACAGCAACGGGCGTTCTGTCAGATTGCCCACCGTCGATCGGTGAGAGTATCGGTGCCCTTCCAAATAATGCATCTTCCTTCTGCGGATCTTCCGGTAAATCTGGTGGTACATCGAACAAGTCCTCCTCGTCGGTGGACGGCGACAGAAGAGTATTCTTGTTTACGCTCATCGAGCTCTCTTTGCTGATGCTACCCAGCTCGGACCTGTCGTCCAAGGAAGAAGGATCGGCCGTCGAGCGCTGAACATTATCATTGGCAGTTAAGCGATCGGAAGAGCTGATCGCCGGAGCGGCAGATGGGTCTTTGCTGGATGAGTAGGTGCTAGTGTGACTCTCTTCTTGAGAATTATCGTTGTCCGCGTTGTCAACCGTGTCGAAGTCGATACCGCTGTGCCGCAGCGCGGATTTCCGGGCGTGTCGGCTTTGAGGGCGGCGTTTCGCTTGGATCCTCACTCGGCTCTAATAAGAAAAATGGCCACAATAAATTAAGGGAAAGACAAAATTTGAATTATTCAAAGTATCTCAAGAATATATTGTCACATCTCAAAATTAAAAACGGAATATACTTAAGAGAAGAAAATTCGATTTCAGAAAAATGTGTTAAGAGCTTACGTTTCGTCTTAATTTGTTTTCTTTGTTCTGAGAAATGTTTAATAAAATACAATATAACTCAATTAAATAAATCAATATAGTTTAGTTTGATAAGAACCTTGGACGCGGTAGTGGATAACGTTTCTACTTGAGCCAAATCATCGAAATTTATGGCCGCTTCCGCGTTGCTAGCAGTGGAAATTGTCGAGTAAGAGGATTCCTTCCGCGCGCTATCTTCTGTAAAAAAAAATTTATTTATATCATCTCTTCGCTCCAATTAAAAATTTTGATTAACAAATATCCTAAACAAAATATTAATCCTCCTACGCTATAATGGACTTTATCACAATTTAAAATAATATATCTTTTGAAAATTATGTGATCTATACATTGTTATGTAAATCACATCATTTATAAACTTGTCTTTCTTCGTACTTTTTAGTTAGTGATGTATAAGATTTCTCTCCATCTGACAAAGATTGATGATCAAAAGAACTAAGATGTTTGTAAACAGAAATCTTGTTAAACGGTAACTACCTGATACACTCGGAGGTGAAACGTGACCACTGATGCTCAGATCTCCGTTGTCCCGGTCAACGACGTCTTCGTCCTCGTCCGTCTTATCCTCGCTTTTCCTCCACAACGGCGGTGCATCCATTGGCGAGAGTATCTTTAAGTCACCCATCTTCCCCATTAGGTTCTTTATCTTGCCGGACACCAATCGTCGGGGTACCTGTTGATTGCCATGTTCCTCGGACGGTGGTGAGATCGTCCGGATGCTCAGGGTTTTTGGCGGAGAATTCTTTTTCACTGTGCCGTCTTCCTCGACGTTGGAAGGCATTTCCTTGACTTCAGCTTCATTCTTTTCTTCATGCACGTCGTTTCTTGCCGAGGAATCGCTTGACTCCGCGGTTGTTTTAACGTTACGATTTAAACTTGATGACTCTAACGGGCTTTCATTTTCTTCAGGAAGTTTCTGGGCCTGCTCAGCAATGTCTTTCCTGACTTCTTCTTTGGATTTCAGTCGGTCGCCTTCGTGCGACGATGTATCCTTCTTACCGAAAAGATCATCGTAATCATCGTCCTCAAACAGAAGACTGCGGGGTCTCGTAGTTTTCGAAAATAGTCCGTCTAAATAATCTGGAGGATCGTTTCTGTCCTTCTTTTCCGTTTCGAGACTAGAGACGTTCTTGGAGACGTCGGTCTTTGGTTCCACTGCTGCATCTTTCTCTATCGAGGTCTTAGCCGACAGAAACAAATCATCCTCATCTTCGAAGAGATCAATCTTACGTTCGTTCTTTGATTTCATCGGCTTCGCGCCAAATAGGTCGCCATCATCGTCATCGTCGTCAAACAAGCTGATCTTCTTTGGTTCCATCCTCGTGTTTTGTGAATTATCTAACGAGGATTTGAATAGTTTTTTTTTTTATCAAGTACATTCTTCAAAATTCTAAATTTCAAAGCGTAATATTTACGGAAAAACATGTAATTATAAAATTTTTTTTATTTCTACATTTTCTAACAAACATTCACAAGGTCCTTCATATCCTCGAATTAAAATAAAACAGTCTTTTACTACTTTTATGTAAAAATACAGCGTTTTGTGCATGTGCTCAACTTACCTTTGTTGCTCTTCGGCGCTGCCGAGTCCAGGTCATTCGGGGCCGCGTCCCTCGAGCTCGGTTTCGATACCCCAAATATATCGACGTCCGGGGCGTCCTTGCCGCCGAATATATTCACGTCGTCGTCGAACAAACCGCCACTTTTCGGAGCTGGCTTTGTCCGGTCGCTCGAGGACGCCGTGGCGTGGAAATCCGTACTCTTCTGCGATCTGGAGCCGGAGCTCGCGGCGGAGAAGAGTTCGTCGCCAGAATCGGAGTCGTCGAAGAGCGACGAGACTTTCGACTTGCCCGCTCGCTTCGAGTCCGATTTGCTGGGCAACGGCGGCGGTCCGAACAGGTCGTCGTTATCGAATACGTCGTCCTGTAACAACACCGACGAAATATCCTGTGGCTCCTGTCCCGATTGCTGTTGCTGTTGCTGCTGCTGCTGTTGCTGTTGCTGGTTGTCACTGTTAGCGTTCGCTGAATTGACGTTGGCGGGATGATGCGTTCGCGCCGCGAACAGACTATCACTGGTAACACGCTCGCGATAGATATCCTCGGACTTGAGCCTCGTCGAGGACATCGCCGGCTGGAAGTTCACCCTGAGAAAAAAAAGGCTACTGAGTATTCTTATTTTATGAGCTGAGCGATGAATAATACTACTCGTCTCTCAATCAAAACAAGAAATAAATAGCACGTATATGTATAAAAATAATATATATTTTATTTTATTCTTTTTATAATTCTTTTTCCATCAGGCGCTAATAAAAGTGACGGGTTTCTTTTACAAAGTAATATTATTAAATATCTTTTACAAAGTAATATTTAATTCGTTTCATTCTGTCCACTTATTGAAAAATGAGGAAAATAAATAGCCATTTAGCTTCAGCGACTTTTCGACTGTCATTCGATACATATTCCTTGTGTCATGAACACTCATGAATAGAGCATTCGAGCTAATGAAAATTTCTATTTGCTCAAACATTTTTTAATCTGAACTCCAGCGCTGAGCGATAAATAATCCACAATCTTGAAACTTGCTTGATATTATGCATAATGCGTCTGATACGCTGTAATTGACAAAAAGCTAAGAGCGCTTCTGATGGGTGGCTTTATCGCGGAGTAACTCGTGTTTTACTTTTTAGCAAGATCTTTTTTACGCGCGCGTGGGTTAACGATTTATAAATCTCTCCGCTCTCTTGATTTCCATTATCACTCCCTCGACGCGATTACAGGTGAAGAGGCAATTAGTATATGTACGTTTATGACCTTTTAAGATTATCAATCTTAATAGGCCCGAGATATGCTCCTTAATAGGCATCTTAATGCAGAAGAAAGAGAACTATTTCTCAGTTCAACCTAGCACTCAATTCTTCCGTGAAACGGAACAGAATATAAAAATAGATATAAGAAATTCGGTGGAGCAGTCGTGGGGTAGTGCTAGGCGTGAAAACAAAGGATCCCGAGATATAAGAAATTCCTGCCGTTTCGTTTCATTTCCGTCGAAAAAGAATCGAAATCGCTACGACAAATAAACGCCTTATCATTGTCTTTTTAAACCATTCTGTCAAGGTGTCAAGGTGAGCCAAATCTCAATCGAGACGTTCAGTTAGCTAAAACTGAAAAAATGTTTTCCATCAGGGCACGTTTCGCACATACATAAAACATACAGCGGATTGAATACTAAATTCAGCAAAATTTCGCAAAAGACAAAAATATAATTAATAATTAATGCATCGTGTGAAGTAAAATGGGATAATTGCACTATGTTCAACGATGCTGAAAAGAGGTCATAAGAGGTTTAATTCAATATCGGCGAGTCTAATGCTAACTTGATCCTTGTTCTTTGTTATCTTTGTTGCGTACGGAAATTGTATCCTAAACGACGACACACGTTGGAATTTTTGAACGGTTTAGACGACGCTCGCTAGCTCGGAATTCCGAGCGAACGCTCAGGTCAATACAAATATTTGGTTTATCCTACGGTCATCGGACGGCCGTTGATGGGCTGAGACTGAGATGGGCCCAAAACTACGTTTCTAGAAACTTCTATTAGAAAACCTCTTCCCTTAAGACGCGTAGGAAGTGATGAGAATCTCGCGCGGGGAGTTCTGGCCATTTCGGGTATAAAAAGGGCGGAAAACGTCGCAGAGCGACACTTATAGTTTTAGACCTCTGACACACGTAGTTTTTAGACTTCGGGTCTGTTATTTCATTCTCGATCATTTTTCTAACTATTCAACTCCAGACAGAAAGAAGGAGAAACGGTATATAAAAGGTGATTTTTCGAAATTTTAATATCGTCTTTTCTTCCTAGTGACTCCCTAAGCAAGAAAGCAAGATGAAGAGTTACATCTGCGCGATTTTGCTGTTGATCTGCGGCGGGATGGGTTACTCTGCGACGCAAGTACGAGGTATGTTGCATAATTCTCCGATTATGAGATTATCGCTGAGGAAAAGACATTGTTACGTCCGGGCACTGTAAAACAAATGTGTGTAGAATAATTTAGCCAATTTATAAACGACACGATATTGCCATTAGTACTTTCTCGAAAGACTTGCTACGTGAAGAGATTATCGTACACGTGCAGATTCATTGGCAGATTTGCAAATTAGACGACTAGGATCATTCCGAAACCAATGTAGCTTATTAGCTAATAATAACGCGGAAATAAATAAAAACTTTCAAATAATATTTTTCGGACAGTACTTTCGAATTTTATCACACAGATATGCCTTTAGGTGGCTGCCTTTTTGGAAAACAAGTGGTCAGTGTGGGTAAACACACGGCTGCCCCGTGCATGGAGTTGATTTGTGACACATACGGTCAAGTAACTATGGCCCCGTAAGTCAAAGCATCGTATAATTATATATCTGACTTAACTTAACTAGATATACGATTTCACGTATCTCGGAAAATTCTATTTAAAGAATTAAAAAAAAAAATTTCGTCTTTCACGTAAATGACGGCTTTTGATGCCTAATCTTGTAATCGAGAAAACTGGCTGGTACACAACGATCTTTTGATTATTCCGATCCTCGCTTTAATGCAAATTAATTAATCTTCCCGGGACGTAAGCAATGACAATAATATGTGATTAGACACCTAAATTATAAATTAACAAAGGAAAATGTGCTTAATTTATGCAAGGAACAATAGATTTTTCGGGTGATGCTGAAGCTTAATTTACCGAACTTTCAAATTCGTAAACGGTTACAAGAAAAAAAATTAGAGAAAAAACTTTAGAAATTAAAACAAATGAGTTTCATTATATTTTGACTCTGTGTCTCAGAAAAAGTACATGATTTCTGAGACACGATGTATTTGCCAACAAACTTGTAAAGTTAACGGCTTTAAATGAAATATATCGCAAGAAAACATTTTATAATGAAAAAATCTCATATTATTTCACATTTTTGATTGATATATTTTAAATAATTAACAGCACACTCCGTATTTCGCAATGGAATTTGCACAATTGCAAGGTTCCATCGCGTTTTCAATCGCTAATGTAAATTTTCTATCAAATCTCTCTTTCGTAATCTAATTTTATTCAATTTCTTTCCAGATGCCCGTCAATGGCGTGTAATCCCGGGCAGGAAGCTACTGGTATGATGCCTGAAAGACCAGGCAAACCTTTTCCAGATTGCTGTGCACAACCGATTTGTAAGGGTAGACATTATCCCGAAGTTGCTGATCTACCATACTTTTTGCCACAGATGGAATCCGAGTAACGGACCATTCTCTACCTCTACTTATTAGCTAATAATATCGCGGAAATAAATAAAAACTTTCGAATCATATTTTTCGGACAGATAAGGAAATATTGCCAGAAATAAATCTTTCCTGTCATAATTCGTCAGAATATTCTACCCCTCCACTTCCCTATCGTTTATCGAGACTGGATAAAGAATTTATTCGTCTTTCGCGCGATAACGTGCAACCGAGTTTATCCGGATACGTATTCTCTGTAGCTCACTATGCTTAGTTCACATTTCCGTTGTACAAAAACACAAAAACCACTTCCCTCTCGAGCAATCTTCACTTTTCCGTAAATTTCAAGCCGAATGAAGAAGCATTACTGCCTCCGGCACGATCCGGCACGACATTAAACGTGAGTAAACGCCACTTTCGCTCAAATCCATTCACCTGACCGATTTTCATTGCCTTACAATTCTTGCTTGCTTACCATTCATTTCTCGGAGTCAGCGGAAAACTACAGTATCCTTTCAAGAAAGCGAGTAAACTTTTGGTACGAATTTAATCAAAGCACAACTTGCGCCGTTCGCATTTTCTATTTGTTTTCCATTCGTCGAAGTTCGAAGAATAGTCTGCAACAATCCCCGATAAGATCCAATAGTTTGCATACTTTGCAACTAAATTTTTTTTTTTAATCACTTCATACCGAATCACTCACAATTCTTGCGTGTTCGATCGTCACTTCTTGACAAGCTAGAGCCAACAACGACAAGCGGCAGGCAATACATTCGGCCGTGTTGTAGAGAGGCTCGCCTTGAACTAGCCAGTCCAGCCATGGTATTTACACGAGTACTACGTCGTCATAGCGCGCGTAATGGGCAAGGCGAATGACTAATGTTTGGATCATCAATTTAATGACACCATAAGTATTTGGCACACGTATGCTGAAAGAGAGCGGTGCGTGCGCTGGTATCCACGTTTACGGAATAAGAAATTGACTTTCCTTTTTTTTCTCTCTCTTTAATGCGCTAACTATCTCTCTAAATGATTCTCGGGCGCAGCTAGCGCAGAGAAACGACACTTATGATTCTCATTTGCATTCTGGATGCAGCGTTAGCTCATCCAGCGAGTGAGTACGCAATAAAGCCACGCTTCTTCTCTTTGTTTATGTGCTGACCTCGGGAAACGTCGGTATCGTGTGTCATCGGATCGTTTCCACTCGCGGAATGTAACTTACCAACCTGAGAGTCATTCATTTTAAGCAGTTAATGTCTACGTTTAATGCGCGCGACTGTTGTCTCCTTATACATTCAATATCTAAGTATTCAAGTGAATTCTACGTTTTTATATAAAATCTAATAGCTTAGCGCAAATATTACCGCTTTAAAATACATGCTAGCGACGAAATATTATGATTGTCTAAAATAAAGGAAGCGATAGGGATCTTTACATATTATAGCATAATTTTAGCGACTGGGATATGTATCTATTCAATTGTAGAATGCCCTAGTTAATCTGAAAAGAAATTAAATTAACAAAAAAGAACAATGACTTACCACAAACCGGATCCAGTGTTATCAATGCTCGGCGGCTGCATCGATATCCCGCTGCTGTTGGTGGCGGTCCCGATTGTAGATATATTATCCGCGGGATTCTGCGAACTGCGATTCGTGACTGCGGACGTTGACTCAATGTTGCTTCTCGTCGCGCTATCAAAATTTCCTGGCGCGTCACTGTCAGATTCAGACGACTCTTGTCGTCGTTGCATTATCCGGCTGGACAGTTTGCTCTCGATGTCCGACGTCAAAACGTTGCCGAGTATCCACTCGCCTCCAACAGGTTTCTACAATTTATTTTAGCCTTTATTCCTCAGAAATAGATTTTGTCCTGTATTATATTTAATAAAATACTATAATTATAATAAATCATAAGAATAAGATAACAGTATTGTTCTATCTTCATATTCAAACCAGTTTAATAATAAGTTTCGTTACTTATCGCAAAAGATCAGTATTATATAATATGAACGTCTAAATTATTAAATAAAAATATGCATGCAATGTTAGGAATTATATTTGAGTGAAATTAATTCAGTTAGCAATAAGAGAGCAAATGTACTGACTGAACATTCGTCAAATTGACTGTATAAAAAATTATCGAGGCAGCTTACCTTTTTACTTGGTTCCTGAGTCGTATTTATAGACGATGGCACACTCGCAGGTGTGTGAGATTGCTTCTTGGAGTTGCCGAACAGATCTGCATCATCGTTCTCGTCGTCGCTGAACAGGCTTGTGGCGTTGACGTTGGATTCTGGTGTGCTCGTAGCGACGTTACCCGTGGCGATGTTGGTAGTTATAACGTCCAAGAATCTCTTCGGCACGTTGTCCACATTCGCGGGATGGGCGTTATCGCTCGCGGGAGGTTCTTTCGTGCGTTTTTTAACGACATTCTTCGACGAAAAGATGTCATCCGAGTCTTCCTCTGAATCGGCATCGGCGAATAGATCGTCGATCGCTGACTTTGGCTTTGTCGCTAAAAATACGGTTGAATTAGAAAAGATAAATCTACTGTGAAACGAGAACGCAAGTATAAAAATACTTACAAACTATGCTAATCGGCGGCGGCACGTCTATACTGGCCGGTATAATATTACTATTCTTGTAAGATTTGATCGGCTTCTCCTTCCACAAATTTGCAGACACCTGATCCTCGAAGAGACCCTTTTTATCACTAAACAAATTATCAGAACCGTTGAACACATCCTCATCCTTCTCGGACGCAAACAGATCATCTGAGAAAAATTAACAGTCAACAAACCTCGCGAATATTTTATTTGCAACTTATATTTTTGTGACAAAAGTGTTAACTGCATACCTTTAAGTCGATTAATCGACGATTCACTGGTTTCATCCACAGCAGCAGGTTTCTGCGCTTGGCGAACGGTGCCTAATCGTTTGGCTAACTCTTCTGCAAAATTAGGCGTCGTTTCATTCGACGCCTGCAAGAGAAAAAGAGACCAATTACTTCATCTTTGAAATATAAAGTTTTATCTTTAAAAATCATCAAATCACCACATTAAATATCAGATATCGTGAAGTTTACAAGATTAATTACCTTTGATACATTGTTAGGTGTGGCAGACTCCGAAGCAGAATTTATATTATTCTGAGATAAAATATCCGCCTTATTATTCCCATAAGATATGTTATTGCTGTGATCATTATAGTTATCCGAATCGCTGGAGGAGGACGACAATCTCGCTATATTTATCTCCGGATTATGTCGGCTGTTAAACACCTTTCGCGTATCCGCGTCCTCCTTCTCACTTTCCGATTCCTCCCTCTCTTCATCGGCTTGTTCGGATTCGCTGCTGCTGCTCTCCAAACCTATCTTATTCGAAGCTACCCACTTATCGGAGCCGATAACGTACGGCAAAGGCCGATCTTGATATGGATCATTGGGTCCCACAATAACACTGTAAACCAATTGAATTTTAGCACGAAATAAATGGTCTAGAATGGCGACAAGAATAAAGACACTACCTGAATACCACCGCATCACCCTCATCTTCTTCCTCACTGTCGCTGCAAGCCACGTCCATTACTTTGTACTTTTCATCCATTATGTTTAAACCTTGTTTAACGCTCTCGCTTATGCTAGCCAAGAGATTCTCCGGTGCCGAATCCTGAGTCTTCGCATTCTAATAAGATAATATAAAAATGTATTTCATCTCCAAATATTGAAAGACATGGATTCAACAAAAATATTTGTTAAAAATGAAGTATATTATTATATAGAAAAACGTTAATTCTCTTAAAAACAAGTGCTTACTTCCTGCTTTTCCTCAGAACTCTTTTTAATCTCTATATCATCTTCCTGCACACGGCTTTCAATAAATTGGGTATTGGCCAAAGCCAAAGATGTGTTAGTAACATTATCCACCAGTATCCCGGTTTCTTTTAATTGCGTCGTTAATGTATCCAGAACAGCTTGAGTCTTGTTAGCTTTGGACACCAGGTTCTAGAATTTTACACGAAATCAAAGTGCAACACACTGCCAAATATGAATGTATGTTCTTAAACTTTTATTTTAGCAATGTTTGAATTTTTATTAGTGCCAAGTCTTACTAAATTAATTTCTCCTGATACTTTGTCAATTTTCGAGAATTTAAAATTTTACGGATTAAGTTTTTAAGCTTTCAATTTCAGCAATTCTTGAATTTTTATTAATACTACCTCTTACTCAATTACATTCTCCTGATACTTTGTCAATTTTTGAGAATTTATACGTGCGTTAGTAATTAATGTTTAATCATTCACGCAGATAATTCAGATAAGCTGTTGACCAACGATCGAAAACAAATAACAAGTGACTTTACTGACTTAGTTATCAACGTTAAAAATTGTCAATAAATTTTGATTTTGAAAAATCGACAAAGTATCAGGAGAGAATATAATCAAGCAAGAGGTGGTATTTACAGAAGTGGCACAAATTGCTACAACTATCTTCTCCTCCGTCCAATCTTACATTCGGCAAAGCGACAGATCATACTTCGGAAAATTGTTGAAGATGTTTGAGAAGTCCGGCATCACCCGCTAGACTCCACTCTCTCCTCTTCTTCCTCATCTCTTCGGTGGTCCACGGATGATCCCATGATTTGTCTATACCATCTGGAACATCCTAAAAAATAAAATAGTCAATCTAAAAGACCGCTCATCTGCTTATTCGATGTTAGGACTACAGACCTCCCATACTTATGCGTTAAACTCAAAGTTGGAGTAGAAAAAAAATTTTTCAAAACAACGAACGCGGTTTAACGTAGCTGCGTGACCGCCGTGACCGGACTCACCAAACCGACCGCGACTACTTGCAATCTGAATATTCTGAATACAACTTCGAAAGAAAGTCGCTTTATTGCGTTCCCATTATTCACACCTGCTAACCCATTGCTAACCTAAGTGCTGAGCGAATGTCAGAACTGCCGCGTGTCGCACTTACCATGTCGATTGTCCGCGTCCAAGTAACACGGCAGAAGAACGGCAAGAAACTTTCCCTCTCGCGATCACATTTAAGCGGGTCGAGAGACCGTAACCTGACTCTATCGCAAAAACGCAACGAGAGACGTGAGAGAGAGAAAGAACGTAGCGAAACGCGCGCCGAGCAGGGCGAGCACTGGCACTGGCGAACAGCGAGCTGCACTCTGCGAGTGGATTATTTTCCGACTCCAATGTCTCCAACCTCCAACTCCGATATCTTTTGCCTTTTGCTGTTACCCTTTTTGCGCTCAAAGTGAAATAGATGTACAGGCAGGTATAGGTTAGACGGTGCGAAAGAGAGAGAAGGAAAGATAAAAAGTGCAGAAAGTTCAGCTACAAAGAACATTCTGCCAAGTGGCAGAGCTGATGCCTGAAAAATAAAGAGGAAAAGAGAAACGTCAATTATTTATTTAATCCACAATCCCCTTGCAGGCAGTTGCAGGATGCAAGTCGTCGACAGTCGTCGAGATTGTACAACAGTTGAAGGAGGGAGGCGAGAGGAATTTTGTTTCGCGTTTCCTGAACGTCGATGGCGCATGGCGGAAGAGGAACGAGCGGAAGTGGACCGCCGTGAACGGAACACGGAACACGAGCAGTCGCGCGACCGCCGCACGCAATCGCCACCGGATTGTTTGTCAATATCCTCTCCTCTCGCTCTCCTCCTCCATCTCCACCTCCGACTCCGACCGAGTCCGACGCCGTTTGTCCTCCCGCGCTTCGAGGTACGCAGTACGCACCACGCATCCCGGCCCTCCCTCCCCCCCTCAGCCGCCAGTATTCGCTCGCCAGGACGATCGTCGACGAACACGCTCGTCACGCTGGCATGACGGACGGTGGACGGCAGGTTCGGTAGCGCGACTCGAACGGATCACGACCGTCTCCGGCGTCTCCTCCTCCTCCTCCTCCTCCTCCTCCTCGTGACGTTCGCGAGATTCCCTCATCCCCCCCCCCCCCCCCCCCCCCCCAGTCACCCCTGCTGGCCCCGTGTCGCTGACGACAGTGACGACCGACACGACGCCAGGACGCTGGAATGCGTGAACGCCGAGGACCAGCGGGCACTCGCGGTGGGACACGCGTGTAACGTGTAGCGGGCGCGCACGCACACGCTATTGACAATTGACACGACACGCGCGTGAGCGCGAGCGCACGTGCGTGCACGCACACGCACACACCCTGGCATACACGCGCGCGACGATGCGCCGACGAGCTCCATCCGCCTCGTCGTTGGGAGGATGCGCCGACCCGTGACCTCGTCGCCGGCGGGACTCCGGGCCTGACGAGTGCGTGACGACCCCGGGACGTCGTCGCCGAGCGAGGAACTCCGGAAGCGGGATTTCGAGAGAAGCTTTTTGGGGAGAGCAAACTCAACGCTGAACGGATCAGACAGAGTATACAATATTCGTCTCGAGACGAATGCGAGTTCTCGCCTTGGTCGAGGAGAGTGTAAACAATATAGGAAGAGCATTGCCCGATAATAGAACGTTAAATCCAGGATGATTTTACTGCGCTGAGAGGGGATAGGAGAGTACCGGACTGAACGTTTGCCACTGGAGAGAATCCCCGGTGTTTACCAGCGCGAGCAAATTCACTATTGGTGAACGGCGGGTGTAAATAATGTGAGTTAACTCTTGGGGTAAATGAGAGGTCAATTCTGTAGTGATAAATAGAGGCGGTAGCATGTCGGTTGTTAAAGTCGATGCTTTCTTCTATAAACTCCTTGTGTAACGATTGCTAATTTGGAAACTAGTTTGAGATTCAATTATGTCTTTTCAAGTTAAATAGGTATCGAGACACGATCCATTTTTGGCTGTTTTTTTTTAAGTATTTATTAATATCTTTTCTCAAGGTGTCTCGGTTTCATCTCAAATGCCAATCTAAATAATAGTCTTACAAGATGTGTCGATAAACTCATAGTTTTATAAATAACAATATTTTGCGATCTCTAAATATAACACAAGATTATATAGAAACGTCTCTCGCAATGTTTTTGAATGTATTCCATTAACACGAGACTATTTCTCTGTTACAGATTCATTGGAAGAAAATGTGTAATGTCAGAGTGATACAATATAGAGACATAGGTGGCCAATACAGAGCGATCGATTATAACAGACTATTGTGTATCTCGCTTAGTTGATGTACGGAACGTTACCTTAGAGACGTTTGTCTAGACGCTTTTATTGCATATCCTTAGTCACGCTCTGTTGGAAATTATCCGGTGTTCACAAAACTGCAAAATTTAATGAGGCCGAAGGTGCCTCAAAAGAGGGGAAACTTTCTTTTGAGAAGGTACAGCGTTCTACAATTGACTTCAACGAACAATGAACCATTCGGGAAGCGGAAAACGTCAGGCGAAGGTTTTGGAAGAAAATTATTGGGACTGCAGTGTCTGCACTTATAGGAATACAGCGGAAGCATTTAAGTGCCTCATGTGTGACGTCCGCAAAGGAACCTCTACGCGGAAACCCCGCATAAACCCCCAATTGGTAGCTCAACAGGTCAGTCTAATAATTCTGCAATGTACGTACATTTAGGAACAAGCCTCTTTTATCTGCTATTTTTGTACGCAGCTATTTGTGTGTTCAATTTATTTCTCACGCTACGATCTCGATATCGGAGTTTAATATGTAATCAATATTGTCCTATCTCATATCACCAGGTTGCGCAGCAACAATATGTACCACTTCTGAAACCGGGCAAGAAAGAAGGGAGTGGCGGTAGTACGACCAGCGGCGTCAAGGAGAAGGAACGCAAACTGGATAAACTGAGGCGCAAAAACAGGCATCCGCCGCGTCTGAAAAATATCGACCGTAGCACCGCGCAATCGAACGAGGTAACGGTCAACAATGTTACCGTCACTATCACGGAGTATAAGCCCAAGGTGAAGAAGGGTTCGGATCAGTCGAGCAACGCGAGCTCCGAAGGCGGGAGCCAGCACGACTCGAATCAGGACTCGAGAAGTCTCGATGTAGGAACCGACGCCTAGTTTAATGCTAATGTTACATATGTGTGTATGAATTATTCTAATTAATATATTGTCATGTATGTCAACCTCTATGGTCAACTGTACATCCTCTAGACAAGCGCGACCATTGTTGACAGTCGTTCTTCTCTCGTTTGACTATGCGTCGCAAGTTGTATGACGAACTCAACGAGGTCAGGCAGTTTATACTGTCGGGGATATTATTGACTGAGCATGATTCGTATAGCATTATTCAAGGAAAACAGAATAGGGATATATGTACATTGTATATCACTGTTTTACTCGTTGCACAAAATATTGAATAATTTGCATCGCTTCTCTACGCGTTTTTTTTTGCGAAAAAATCAATGTACTTAAAAGATGCTTACTTTACAGACGTCGTTCTTTTATCCTGCAATATTCATTGAATTTATTTAAAATGTCTATCAACGTATTCTGCGGTAGATTTAAATGCAAAAATAGGGAAGAAAGCAAACTGTAAATATCAGTGAAACGGAATTTTACGAGTCATTGTTGATTATATTGAATTACGGTTTTTATTGAATTTACGAGACCACTGCCAGAAGAAAGCGCGTCGAAAGGCGATTATTGTTCGGAATTTGTGAGCAAGACTAACGACGTGCGACGATATATCTATATCTGTACATACATATATGGATATATAGATATCGATCGCATTGTTGATTTTCTTTCCATTCAATTACCAGCACGACTGGCACTGGTAAATATGTACATCTAATTCCATTCTAATTCGTCACTGAGATGAATTTTCTTGAAACATAAAATACTTAAATAATGAAAAATTATTTTACTGATCTCCATGTGATTCGCTAATTTATTCTGCATTTTTATCAAGCACAGTTAAATTCATTGATTTATAATATGCCCAAAAATGTTTAATCGCAATTGTATGTACAGATCGAACGTAAAATTTCAGATATGTAATATACATGTACTTCGCGTATTGAATAATCAAATAACGCTCGCTGATAAAAAAAAGAAAGAAGATAAAATTTTATTTTCAGCGAATAAGCGAAGACTGTAGAATAAAAAGACGTAACACTTTCTTTAAAAATGCAAATGTGCATACACACAAAACAAATTGTTGAACTTATTTTTACCACATTTGTAACTGCCCACCAATTTTCATAACAGTAAACACCTGTATTTACTCAAAATTAAATGCAGCTGCAAGGACCATGGCAATTTAAATAAACGGATAAAATGGAACAGAAAAGGTTTCTAACAGAACAACATTGTTAATATTACGCTCGATAAATAAATTCTAATTCTACACTATCGAGATCATTGTAGTATGATTCTGCATTAAAAATGAAAGTAAATGTAAGAACCTATCAGTATCAGAGTAATTAAGCGATTAATAAGATAAATCAAGGATTATATACTCGAGGAACAAATAATATCGCCAAGTATTTGGTAATATTAAACTGTAAAAAGAATCCTCACGACTGTCCCCCCCCCCCAGACTTGCTTTCTCGGTATCGTCGATATCTTGAATTCTTAATCAAACGAATTGTTGCGTAAGACCATGTAGCTTTTACAAATGGATTTCTAATCGACAAATAATCAGGTCATCAACCACTTTTAAAGAAACAATCACACGCAAATGATATTTTTACAATTTTGTGGAATTGTATATGTTATACAAATTCTTTTTGTCGTACATGTGTAACCTGTTTATTTTTACATTGCGCAAATCTACCTGTATTTTAATAGAACATGAGAATTTCGAGTAAACGTATTTTGAAGTCTGTACAAAATTTTCGAATTCTTTTGAATTAACGCATTCGGCATTTCTAAGTGCATATTATAATCTCTTGTTCATTCGATATTAAGTAAATGCTGTTGCCCACTACAAATTTATGGCACTGCGAATCAGGGGAGCCCGCTTTATTAAAAAGATATTTTTCTTTTTACGAAACGATCTCTCCAGAACGTTATATTGATTATTCGTACAATGTAAAAATTCGGCCACCTGAATAACTGTACGTTATTTTCAAGAAAAATGTTACATTACATGATGTAAGATTCCCGAAAAATAATTATGGGGTTAAAATTACACTGTTAACAGGGAAACAATAAATCATGTTTTCGAGAAACGGAAACAAAAGGTGTTTTAATGATCAATCAACTAGATATGTAAACACATTTATCCTAAACAATTTTTATGCCAATGTTATAGATCAACTGTATTAAAAAACGCATAACAAAAGTGTCGTTTATTTACAATTTCTACGAAATTTTATTTTAATATGTTTTAATGTAATATAATTAAGATTGTAATCAATCTTTATACTGTACATTCTTCAATTTTCTTTTTTTGTTCGACGATTCCGAATTTTCGATTTCCATATTTTCCATATCTTCGGTGACGTCCATCGCCTCTTCTCGTTCAAGTTTCACAGAATTTTTCGACGCGACGCGGTTCACAAATCTCTCTCGTACTATTAATCAAAATAACAATTAACTCAATGAGACTTAAATGCATTAGAAATTATTTGTACATACCCGTAGATATCTCCATGAGATCCAGCACTTTGAAATTGTGCTCTTTATTATCTCCGCCAACAGTAAATACAAATCCATTATCTGGGTTCGCCGCGAGACATTGTATAGCGCCCAGATTATTCGTTTGTTCCCATATAAGAGTAGGATCTTTTTGATCTATATCCCACATTTTTATTACACCATCGTTCGAACAAGAGACTAACAGGCCTCGGCACGATGTGCTAAGAGAAAGACCTGGACAAAAATTAAAAGCAAAATTTATGAACTTATAATGCATATGTTTATAAAAAAAACAAGTTGGGTAATAAAAGATTTATTTACCTGTAACTTCTTTTTCATGGGCCTTAATTTGCCATAATGGTTTCCGTTTTCTCACATCAAAGTATTCTATGTAACCATTATCCGTGCTAGCCTGCAAAGAAATTGTTATAGATATGTCGAAAATTAAATTTAGAACACATGTAAAACGTACAATACAGTAATTATCGTCATAATGATTCCATAACACTCTTTCCACTTCTCCCGATGCCTTCCAGCTTGTAACAAGTTCCTCGTTCATGCAGTCGAATAATCTTACTAATCTGAAAAAAAATATTACATGCAGATATCTATGTATATGATATAAATGTTCACATCGTAATAAGATAATCAAACATACAACATACCTGTCTGCACAACCTATCAATAACTGATGGGTTTCTTGTGGATGCCATTTTAGAGCTTGCACTTTCTCACCGAACGGACCCAGTTTGTTCACAGGTTTACCATTTTCCAAGTCCCATAATAAGACTGTCCGATCGACCGAACCGCTAGCTAGAACATGTCTGCAACAAGATTTCTATGTTCTTAATAATTATAAAACTAGTTATTGCATTGATTATATTTTTCTGAAATTAGTAACTAACGTATAATTATGATTCCACGCCACATCTAAAACTGCATCTTTGTGACCGATGCGTTTTTGATTCTTCTTTTTACTTGGTTTACGACCCAACTTGTAGGCTGGTTCTAAGCAATCTATTAAGTCCAAATCCCATACTTCAATTATGGGAGTCATATTACCGATAGCGCATAAATTACCTAAAAACACAAGTATAAATCTTTAACTATATATCTTTTACTCTACAGCTAATATAGTGCATAATTTCTCTAAAAATAATTCTAATGTATTGCGCCGTTGTATTACTCACTTGGTTTTGGATTGGTAGGATCATAGTTAAGCCATTCTATGCATAATGGAAACGAAGGTAACAATATATCATGATGACAGTAAAAAGATCCTTCTCTTTCATTGTATACTGCAATTATATAAAAAATTATCATAAATTCCACAGGAAATCTATATACATAATTATTTAAGTAAAATTATCTAGCATCAAGATTGCTTTATTTAATCAATATTATACAAACCAAATACTTCCAAGATGCTAGCGTCTCCCGCAACGTGCCCAAACAACACCAAATTATCATCAGCCTTGATAATGTCGTCCTCTTTATCCGAATCTTCTTCATCATTTGTTACAAGAGGATCTTTGCCATCTCCGGCAAAAGTAGCTAAATTACTGATGTGACAATACATATTGCCAGCTAAAACAAAACAAAGATAAAGAATCATATAAATACATTTTTGTTACATATTCAGCAATTTAGTATTTAAAAACTTGTCCCTTACATTCATTATCATAAGTTTTAAAGTTATATTCATCAGCTGTTGAACATTCTCCTTTACTTTCTGTATTAGACTGTGCTTTGGAGGCAGCTGCATCTTCGTCAGAATCGTCAATATTTCTATAAAAAGAATTTTTACAATTTATTAATTTTTAAACATTATATCTTGCTCTTGCAAGAAAACAATAGATGTATAACAGAGGGTTCAAGTATGAGCCTTTCAACGTTCTTAAAAAATCATTGAAGTTATCGGAAGAAGATATTTTGATAGGAGACGAACAATCTGAAGTTAACTACAAATTGAAAAATTCAAACTCAGGAATTTAATTCTCGACGGAAGACAAAATATTGGAAAATATTATAAAAATAAAACGAGACAAAGTTGTAAATTCAAATAAACAAATTTGTGTTATTTAAATTAATATAATTATTTAAATGACTAATTTGCACGAGACGCATTATTTTATTACGTACTCCAAAGTGGCTTGCGTCTCCTTTATAATCTTCTCGAGCTCATCGGGCCTTAATTCAACCTAAAAATCAAATATATGTTTTTGACAAATGTGGTATAATATAAATATCGTTAAACTATTTACCCTCTCCGGAACGGCCGCGGCAACGCCTTTTTTCACCCATGTGGTACAAGATATGATATTCGCTTCCATCTTTATTAGAAATTTGTTAAATGCATAATATTGCTCAAAATATAACTTTTACCAAGCTTCCTCCTTGCTCGCTAATTATCGAGGCAGAATCGAGGTTAGGTTCTTAACCCACACGCCGCACGTGTTCCTCTAAGCAGAAGCAGTGATGCCAATAATGCTGATCGCTTATAAGAAGTATATTCTCTATATTTCCTGAAAATGGAGGCAATGTGGATGTTTATTTCAAATAAATGTGGTTTTTCATAAAATGGTGTGCTAATAAATGCAGTTGACTGAGATTAAAATATGTCACAATACCATGTAACATTTATATTTCTTCAAAGATCCAATGTACAATTATATTGATATAAAATCCCATTTGTACAAATATACAAAAATGTCGGTAATTATAAAATCTATATATACATATTATATATACATAAGTTTGGTAGTTGTTATTTGGAATGCAAAATGCTTTGGTTCCGTCTTGTAAAATTTGGGATGCTTTCCAGCAAGAGCACATCAGACAGGCACTGTGTGACACTGTCACACTGTCAACGAATAAAACATTTCCAAAGTCCCGAATTTTGACAGTCAAATATATATATGTATGACATTTTATCTATACATATGCTTTTTGCTGGAAAGTATCCTTAAATATAATATTAAATATCGGTTAGCACTTTTGACGATTCTTCTTGGCAAGTACAGCCAGCGCAGTCTTTGAATGATTTGCTCTGCCCAGCTCGTTACTGATGTAATCACCAATCTCCACTATTTTATCAAAGTCTACGCCGGTCTCCAATCCTTCTCCCCGTAGGAAGTAGAGTAGATCCTCCGTGGCGACGTTTCCCGAAGCGCCAGCAGCGTATGGGCATCCACCAAGTCCAGCGACCGAAGAGTCAAAGACTCTTACACCATCTTCGAGACCCGCCTGTATGTTTACCAAAGCCTGGCCGTACGTGTCGTGACAGTGCAGCGCGTAACAACTCATGTTGCTCGAGGAAACGTGGTGCAGCTCGTTTAAGACGCGTTTGATCTTCCTCGGCGACCCTACGCCTACGGTATCGCCCAGAGAAACTTCATAGCATCCGATGTCTAACATTATCGAAGCTAAATGTGCCGTAGTGGCCGGTTTGGTCTCGCCTTCGTAGGGACAGCCGACGATGCAGGATACGTAACCCCGGGTCCTGATGCCGTGCTTCTTCGCCTCCTCCACGACCACCTTGAAATTCCTCACGCTCTCCTCGATGGAGCAATTGGTATTCGCCTTGGAGAAGGCCTCCGACGCCGCACCGAACACGGCGATTTCTTTCACGCCTACCGCGACAGCGCTCTCCAAGCCTTTCAGATTCGGTACCAGTACTGGGTAGGATATACCGTCTCTCTTCTCAATTCGTTGAAAGACCCGCGAGTTGTCGGCCATCTGAGGGACCCATTTCGGAGACACGAAACTCGTAACTTCAATGCTCCTCAATCCGGTCGCCGATAGACGATTGATGAAGTCAACCTTGATTTCAGTAGGCACCATCTTCCTCTCATTTTGCAATCCGTCTCGTGGTCCAACTTCGACTATTTTTACGAAATCGCCGGATTGTTTCGTCGCATATCTTTGGACGTGATTACGAAGATTATGAACGCTCGATGGCAATATTGCCCGTTTCGAGAGTAATTTTAGCATTGTGAGAAAAACTTATATTGAAACTGATTAAAAATGAAATATCGCGTTATTTAAAAATATATCGCACTATATATGTATTTACAAATTTTACTGTACAGTGGAGTCGCTCGAACCTAAAAAGGCTTAAAAAACAGCTTGTTTATCTAGTTACTTCCCCAATTCTACCAATAACCATAAGATGTCTCTATTCCGAGATCGGTATTTTTATAAATATATCTGTTGAATTTTAAAAGTTTACGCTTTTTATAGGGCTATGGAGTAATCAATCAAATTCTGATTAACTACACATATTATCGCAGATAATAGTATTTCGTTAACATGGAATTAGTTTCGGTTCTTTGACACGTGAGAAGAAAGATTAGATTGAGAACAATAAATCGCATAATTAGAAATTTCTAATTTTCGAAATTTGGTTGAAATCGCCCTTAGTTCGTGCGGCACCTTTTGTGCAGAATTCACCTCGCATCCGTCAAATAACTTCCGATCTGTCCAATTAGAAGATTCGTTTTCTAAAAATAAAAATGTTATATTAGAGTTAAAACCTCAGAAAAAAAAAATTTCTTAAATAAAAAAAATTAATTAATCACTCAAGTTTTTCCAATCAAAGATACCTGCACGTTGCATGCAATGCGCTTGTTGCACATTTGCATTTCCCGCATCCTTCTCATATCAACAACGTAGCGTACTTGACGGTCCCCCCTTACGTCTATCTTCACACTTCTCGTGGGGACTGGGGGTTGGGGGGTGCGCGACCCGTTCAATTCGTTTCTCACGTCGGTGGGCGGTGCACGGACGAGCGTATAAGCGACTCCGACTGTAGAGAGAGCGGTACGCGGTACCACCGCACGCGCGGCGTCTTCGCCAGCCGGGCATGCGGAGGAGCGCGAAAGCGGAGCGGCGAAAGCGCGCGCGGCGCCGCGAGATTTCGCCCCCGTTTCCACCACCGCCGTTCCCGTCGTCGTCGTCGTCTTCGCTTTCGTCCTCTTGCTCCTTTCCGACGGGTCCTCGTCCGCCACCGTCGTCGGCTATTCGGCGCGGTAGCACCGGAGTAGAGTCGCGATCAACGACTGCCGACGACTACCAACTACGTCGCTGTCGTTCCGCTCGACGCGCGTGAATCGTGACGCGCGCGACGCTCCGGAGTCACGGCCGACACGTTCGTCGATAGGGCGCTATCGCGTGCCCTCGCGCCCATTCACGCAGTCACGCATGCACGCACGAACTCTGCACGCTTGCGTTCGTAGTGCTTCGCGTGTTCGTGTTCGTTCGTTCGTACGTACGTACGCTCGGTGCTCCCGCGGCTCCCGCTCGCGGTCAAGAATGACATATCGCGACGCGCGGGTGACGCGCGACGACCACGCACGCACCGGGAGGAGCGTCGTCGAGCGGGAGCAGCGCGACCGCGACGGTTGAAACAGGAGAGAATCCTGAAGTGGAACCCACGACCCACGTCGCGCGGAACCGCGGAACGTTTAAGCCCGGGCTCCGGTCGGACGTCGGACGATGGCAATCTCGAATTGGATGATGTGGGGTAGGAGCCTACGCACCGGCCGATCTCGTCGAAGTGCGTGTGCACGGCAATTGCAATTGATAATTGAAAGTCGATCGCGCGACGATACGTAGCGTTCACTCCGACGCGTCTTGATTTGTTTTCTTTGATTGCAGGCCGCCAGGACGAGGACAACTGCGTGCAGCTCGATCTGTCAAGAGGTTAGTAACCTAACCTGCCTATGCCTACCCGCGGTCGCGGATCTTACCCTCCTCTCCCTCTCCGCCGACGACGGCCGTTTGGGACCGCCTCGCAGCCTCGCACTTCCGTCTATTTATTTACCTTTCGCCTGGCGAGCACGCAATGTTGCGCAACGTCGCCGCGCGACGTCTCGGTCCCGAGATCGGCGACCGGTTCGCGCTGCGTGTTTTTAACGGCGAAAAATGCCGATACCTTCCAACGATATCGAATGATACGAATCTCTTGCCATTCGAGAGTTTAGAATGTATTCATATCGGCCTGAACTGAAAACGAAAAAGGTCAGAGAAAGAGAGACGGTATCTGGGGGACCAGTCAGTCGACTCTGCTTTAAACTTTATTATCCCGTTTTCAGATCAGTCCGTATGACAATATTGCGCAATTATTTTAGCTGGTCTTTCTTTGCCTGAAAACAGGCACGATTGTTATTTTCTTTCCTTACGAATTGTTTACCAGAAGAAACACTTTATGTTTTGTAGGATTAAAGGAGAACGTTAAGGAGGTCTTGACTAATCTTTGCCAGCGGCACAATGTTCCAAGCGTAAAGAAGCTAGCGTATCTCAATGCTATTGTTAAGTTGATTAGCGAAATTGACGCGCCAGATTATGGATATTCAGCAGAGGATCTGTTCTGTTGGTAAGAATCCACTGACGACTAGATTTATCAAGTCTTAAAGACTTTGATTGTCAATTACCGATCGTAACAATGTTTTTTTTTACAGTTTACGCGTGGCGCTGGTCCACGAGGCGACGCAGGTGCGCGCCGCCGCCTTACGGGCGGTCCGTTACATGCTCAAGAAGGAGCAGGATGTCGTCGCGATCAACAGGCTGCAGTACCCGTACTTCTTGGCGCGTAGCATGGACGTTAACCTGCGTAACGAGATGGAGAGGATACAAGCTCTCCGACTCGTCAGGAGGATCCTGGTATTAGCCCCCAAGCATTTTAGTTCCGTGCTAGCGAGATCCCTGATCAGTTTAACGAATGGTGGCATAGAGGAGAGGGATCGTGCATTTAAAGCATTTCTAGCGGTCCTGTGCGAGTTGGGTGTCTTGAACTCGAATCTGCTGATAAGCTGCGGCGGCGTTGGTGCGCTGGCCAGGGCCGCGATGACCGGGCAGAGTAGTATCGCGGTCGAATCCGTCGTCGGGGTGCTGCTGCGACTGCTGAATAATCCCGATACGCGCGGCAGCGTCTCCCTCCTGTGCTTTGCCGCGCCCTACTGCGAGCTCCATTCCTTGAGCATGGAGAGAACCAAGGAAGAGCGCGAACAAAGATTCGCCGCCAGTAAACTAGCCCTGCTGAGCATCCTGCGCTCGTATCCGGGCGTCCTTCACTTCTGCCGACCGGACAATAATTCGGGTCTCAAGGCCATCGCGGATATTCTATATGTGGACCAATTGGAGGTGCGCGGCGCCGTTCTGGAATTACTATACGAGCTACTGGACCTGCCATTGCCCACGTGGACCGATGAACCAGACGTCGCGCTGGCCGCGGTGGATCCCAGCAGATCGCGGGACTCGTGGAAGCTGTCGGAGGGCTTTGTCGCCGCCGAAGGGAAATTCATCCTGCCATCCCTGTCGTCGCATAGTCCCAACATCACGGAGATACACTCGGCGTTGTTGGTCTATGTTCTTCTGGAATGCGGTCTGCACCGAGCCCTCGCGGAAACCATTGTCTCCAGCGACACATTTATCTCGGTGCGCGCGGCGGTACTGCTAGGTGCGTTGTTGCACCTCGCGCATTCTCTTCTACCATCCGAGCTCTGCGACCTTACGCCGCCATTGCCTAATCTATTGGAGCACGCGAGTGCCGGTAAGCATCAGGCATTAGCGGCGGTCACCATTCTCGAGCGAATGCACACCATGATGCGACGTAGGCCGACCCCGGCGAGTCTCTTCCTCGATCGTATCCTTCAAGCAGGCACCTGGCTACGTCCGATTCTGCCGCGGCGTCAACGGCCATCCGGCAGGCACTGGCTGCGAATTGGCAGAGAGTCGCCGATCACGCCTCTGCTGAAGGATGCGCAGGTGCTCAGCTCGAAGGACGCTCTTGCTTGGAACTGGCCAGTGGTGCGGGCGATTCTACGATCGCGCGAAGATGCGACGCGAATCCTTCATGATTCCGATCACCGGCTGTTCATGAAACGACTCGTGCGTTACTTTAAACCGTCGTGGAACGGTTACAGCAGAGTCGAGCTGGGCACGAGCGCAACGTTGGCACGCGAGGCGACTCTCGCCGGCTGCGATTTGTTGAATTGTTTGTTGGAACTGCATGAACCGGAAGGCGCGCGACTGCTCAACGAGCTGATCGAAGACATCGCTGAGCAGATCGGCAACATTCGCACCGCCGAATCTGCGCACGATTGCCTGTTCTCGCCGCGTCACATGTCCACCACGTGTTGCCAGAAGTACTTCCTGTTTCTCGGTCAGTTGAGTCATTCGGCCAAGGGCACGGTGGTTCTCAAGAGTTTCAACCTGCTGGAGAAGCTGCAGGATCTGGCGTTGGCCACTAATCACGACTGCTACGTCAAACTGATCGTCTCTAGCTTGGATTACTCTCGGGACGGTCCAAACAGGAAGGTTCTGAGCAAGATCATCTCCGAGGCGACGTTGTGGAGCACGCGCCTCTACACCACACAGTTCCTACGGCTGATTCTTCGTGCCAGAATGACGGATGCCGTACGCTGGGCAATGACATTGCTAGCGGACCGATTATCGGACAGCTACACAGCCGTGGCGTTGGCCGCTCTGGAGGCGCTGCACGAGGCCTGCGACGAAACCGAGTACCTGGAGGCATTGTTGCAACAGGGTGGACAGTCACGCGATTGGGACAAGTGGTTGCAACATCTGGGCGACAAGGGTTATTTATTGAAGATCCGACTTTATTCTCTTCAGCAAGGTTTCGCGAGTCTCGCCGCACCTTCCGAGGAGTTGGAGAAGTGGATCGGGCCCGGTGGTTTCGCCGAGCGATACGTGGGTCTCGTGGAAGGGGAGATGCACGATGCGTTGACGTGTCGTCAACGCGACGAGACCGGGAGCTACCAGAGAAGGCCCACCAGCGACGTGGTGATGACGCCGCGGGATATCTACGTGCCGCCGCATCTGATCGGTCAGCTGGCGCAGCACGATCTGGGGATGCAATTACTGTTACGTCGCAACGTGATACAGCGTTTCGCTCGAGTGTTGCAGCGATTCAAGCTGGAGTTTGGCGGTCGCGATTCAGAGTCCAACTCGCGAGGTACCAGAACAAATCGTCTCGCCGCTATGGCAGCAGCGACGGCAGCCTCCGCTGCCGTCGACGATGTCTGTATCATGTCGGAGGAGTCGGGAACGGATGAAGCCGTCGAACAGTGCAGCCGCCTCGAGACCATCCCCGATTACGAAACGGTGGAGAACGAGACGCGCGATACCACGAGTCAACCGCGAACGGAGTCACTGATGGAGATTCGTCGTAAGACTAGCGTGGACGATTCCAGACACACTACTCCGGAGCGAAGCTGGAGGCTGGAGACCGAGTCGTCGCGCGACGACCACTTTGTCGGCCCGAACGGCGGCATTCTCAAAGTCAAATCGGCTCTCTGGGCTCTCGGCCACGCGGGCACGTCCGTCGCGGGCGTCGAACACTTGAGCCATTTGGGTATCATCGAGATGATTACATACATGGCGGAAACGTGCCCGTATTACTCGGTACGCGCCACCGCGATGTACGCTCTTAGTCTGATCGGCACCACGCGAGCTGGAGCCGACACGCTGGTCAACTTCAACTGGCCGTGCGTCAGGCATCGACGCGGTGACAACTGGCCCGTGGTACCGCCCTCGACCCGATATCCTATGCCAAGTCCGATTCCTGTGCAGCGACATCACCGTAGCCTCAGCGACGGCAAACCGGAACTGCTCGAGCCGATTGTGCGCCGCACCAGGAATCGATCCGAAAGCGCGGCCACGGATCTCGAGGCGCGACGATACTTCCTTTCGTAAGTGAATCGATTAAAGACGAAAATACATATCGAGAAAAGATTAAAATCATTTTAATCTGAAGTGGATTTTCTAAATGGAAACTTAATTGTCGAAATATCATAGCTTAAGAATTTTTTGACTTTTATTTTTACTTAAAATTTGAAGAAAGATAATGTTGTGTTTTCTTCTGTTTTTCAGAGAGAGAGGCGAAACCCCGAGTCCTGTTTCAAGTATTCAAAGACTAAGCCAACAAGATGCTGAAGGATATGCACGATTACGTAGTTTACAACGCCATCGCAGACCGAGTTATTCTCAAAGTAGTTTAGAAGTACGTGAAAAATCATCCCTACACCTTTGGAAACACGATTCAACGGCGTCTGCAAAAAAAACAACACGATAGACAACAATCGATTCTTTTTTCTTGCAGATGTATAGTTTAGACGGCCGTCTCTCGCTGCAGAGTCTGTCGGAGTACGATTCATCCCGCAGCTGGATTGCGGAGAACGCGGTTCTCACACCGACGCCACCTCCTCCGGAGGATGACAACGAGAACATGTTTTACATGGGTGTCTGCCTGCCGAGGAAACTGCTCACGATCTTCCCCGAGCCTCCTCAGCCATCCCAGCCAACCATTCTTGAGGATAGTATCAGGTCCGAGTTGGAGACGACAGAGATCGACGAGGAGTCCAGTTCGGAGTGCGACGCCGATACCGAGCATTGCCGCACGTGTCTCGTTTGCTATCACGGCAAAAGTGGCAAAGACGCTGGTACGGAGCAGGATATGAAATTGCGAAGGTAAACGAAAACGCGATCTTTTAGCAGAGTACTCGTACGTTAAAGGTAGAAGATAAATATAGTTGAAATGCAATGAAAAAATCGCTTGAGAGGTAGAGAGAAAAATAAAATCAGGAGTTTGGAATTATAGTTCTTAATTAATGCCAATTAAGATGAAGTACTTTTTTGTTGTTTTTTTCACGTCTAAACGTGAATGATCAAAATGTAACGAAATTTTACGTTGTATCTAATTCGGTCATGTTTGTACAGAGAAATACTTAGACACACTCAACGCCTTGCAAACCCAGTGTGGTATCGTTACAGTCGTCAATCGTTACTTAGACTGAGACAGCGGTATCCCGAAAAATTTCAGGTATCGTACGTTTTGTTCCTTCCGATGTCTCCTACATGCAGGAGTGTCTTTTACGCATGTTCGCTTTTTGTAGGATACCTGCTTGTTTTCGGACGTAGCTGCTCGCCTGGGCAGCGGTACGTACAGAATGCCAGCGCGGCGATTTCTGCAAGAGCTGTTTCTAGATTCTCCATTCGATGCGGTAAGTTCTTTCCGACGCACGCTCCCGTGTGCCGACACTCGCGTAATCGCATGATTCTCGTGATTGCTTAGCGTTTGCGTCAGCGTTATTTTATAGTTGGAGCAACGGGTAATCGGTTGAAGGAATCGTTAAAAATAATAAAAGCTCGAAGAACTCGTTTCTAAACTTGTCATTAGCGTGACGATATTTATGAGCCAATAACTATATTAAACCTGTCTATTATCAGTTCTATTATCAGCTTCTTCCCGCCCTCTAGATTTACTTACACAAGTATTATATACTTAAGAAAATTAAGATATATACATGAGCCTCCCTTTTTCTCTTCGATTGCAAGATAACTTGTGATTTTGCAGCTCTACGTCGAACCAGTCAACATCCTGAAGATACCGATTGGCACGGAGGAGAATCCTCTGCAATCACCTGTTCCTAGCTCCGAGGCTAGCCCTCGGCAGCAGTCTGTAAGTCCCACGGAGGGCAAGATTAACGGAAGACTTACTCTGACTGAGATACAAACGGCGCAACTGGCGTCGGTTGCCGAGGAGGGCTCCTCGACCGGTGGCGACGGCGGCAGCAGCGAATCGTGCAACGCCGGACATCAACGTAAAAAGAAGCCTCCGGAGGTCGTGCGTCCGTCGCAAGAGCGGCGCACCGATGAGAAAATCATAGCCGAGATCCTAAAGCCAGAAGAGCGAATACGTTTGTCAAAGAGTTCCGATAGGTCTTTAAAAGTATCAGGTACAAACACTGCCATCAGCCTTGATTCGTAGTTTCGAATTCACGATCACGACTGCGCGCGTGTACGTACGTGCGTGTGTGCGTGCGTACGTGCATGCGCGCGTATGCTGTGTGTACATATTTTGTATTAAAATGATAATGATATATATAAAGATAATAAATGACACATATATATATATACACATACATACACATACACACACTGCCGGCAATCAGACGTATCCTTACGTATATTTCAAATGTTTCTTATTCTTGCGCGCCTCGCGTCTATCTCTACATAATTATTCATTAATCCTAGGATTACACATGTTTTTGTACACTCTCTTGGAGACAGCCGAATATTTTTATCACACGGGTCTCGTAAAATTGCAGACTTCTCAGCGGAATTTTTTTCCAGAGAGAGATTCCAGACATAGAATATGATTATAAAATCAAAATTCAAGTCTGTTTGTTAAATTGTAAAATACAAATGTAAGGAGAAATGTTCAATGTAATAATGACTTTCCCAAGTCTCTGTTCTCAGACTTTTGTGTGTAGTCCGCGGGTTGATGACCGATTAACTCGTATTTTATATATCTGTATCGTATGTCCCGTTGTAATATATTGCATTATTTTTTAATGTCGCAATCGAGACTTTTTCTTTGCGAAAGATGCGACGAGAGACCGTGTAACACGTTGCTAGTTTTATACTTAATATTACAATTTCATTTCTATTTATACGCATTAATTTATGTATCATGTATACGATGAAAAAAAGATGAAAAAAAAAGGAGCAGGATGTGTGGAATATCAACAAATGTCTACGTATCTCGCATCTCCCCTTTTTTCTCCACCCAGTTTATCATGTTCCCGATTCCCGCCAATTTCCTCGACGTTGCCGGTCGAGGCACCCCGTTATTGACGGCATTGACGCTACCGCCCTGCGTTCTTCAAGAAATCCGCTAGTCGGCGCAGCGATCGTCCACCACGAATCTCTCCGCTCCGGATGTCACCGATCATTCGCATCATCGTGCGCCGTCCATAATCATTTGTCGAGGAGACAAACAATAATACGGGTTCGCTAGCGCGAATAATCCCGATGACGATGACGGCGAGCTCGAAGCAAGGTTCCAAGCGGTCGAAGTGGGCCCTAGACTTTTCGCACAGGTACGTAACCTAATCGGAGCGGATTTTATCCGGAGTACACGTGTCGGTTTAATGTATTTCGATCGCCGACGTTGGACAGCCACTCGCGTATTAAATATTAACGTTATATAAAATATTAAGTACGCGCCGCGTCCGTTCCTTCCAACTTTACCCTCTGCAACTTTTCGTGTGATTTCTCTATCTTCTCGATCGAATCCCCGAATATTATTTTACCCTCGATTGAAGGACGCTGCTGGACAGAACAGCAGCCTTCCGCCTTTCTGGCGTTTCACAAGTGATTATTAATAAACGAAAAACGTCTTCGCAGAACGAAACAGGAAAAAAATGTGGAGATACCTTCGCCACCAGGTTATACACCTACCGGTTCCCTCTTTCACAATGTGGAGTACATGAGGGAGACCGACTCCAATCACCTGATAATAAAGAAGTCCTGGGACCTGGCGTTGGGGCCCCTCAAACAAGTACCTATGAATCTGTTTATCTTGTACATGGCCGGTAGTTCCGTCTCGATATTCCCCATCATGATGGTCGGGATGCTCATCATCAAGCCGGTCAAGGCGCTGTTCACGCTTCAGCAAAGTGAGTTGATCTGAAATTTGTCAAGCGTAAATGCTCAACGCCGTTCTATAATCACACACTTCCTCTGCTCAGCGTTCAAAGTGATCGAAGGTACACACGCGTGCGGACAAAAGTTCGTGTACTTCCTAGGACAGTTAGTGAATATCGCGTTAGCTCTGTACAAATGTCAGTCGATGGGCCTGCTACCGACGCACGCGTCCGACTGGCTGGCGTTCGTCGAGCCCCAAACAAGAGTGGAATACTCCGGCGGGGGTTTCATGTACATTTGATGCAAAGGGGTCGGTCAGGCGGCATTGTAAGTATTCGGCATACGCGCCCACGTGAATTATAGCTAAATTATACTGTAAAGACATGCGTGTCATGCGTTTAAATATTGTTTATTAAAATAAAAGTATGGAAAAATAAGTGTGGCTTATGTCTCTTTGTACATTACTTGAATACATATATACAGACATATGAGTATATCGATGAGTTTCCTTGAGAGATATAGCTAAATTTTTACATTTACATCGTATCGATAATGGTATACGTTCCGTCTTCTAGTATTGGAAGGGGTTCAGAGGAGATATACGCTACGCTACGGCTTCTTTTTATTCTCCTCTAGAAACTGAATTACTCGCTGATATAGTTTCGATGGCTCATCCACTCGTGGCACCTGAAAAACCGTGGAAAAAACAATTCAGCTTCAAAAAGTTGCAAAGTATTTATTAGGAACTTCATGTGGCGTACTTAACACTTTACGTGATTTTCAATTTCGGCTGATTCGAAGGAGAGACAGCGAATGCGACGGATAACGGAACAAAATTGAAATATCGTTGCTTGCATGAAGAAAGGAACCGATAGCGACTTACGTATATTTATTTTGTTATATATATAAATCAATCAAAGTTGCAAGAACGTCTCTTATCTTATCGAAACCTGCGTACCTCATAATTTTGGGCTATGTATATTCCGGCGTATACTCCAATGCTCAGACTGATCTGCAAGTCATTATAACGTTACAACGCGTTTTCGAAATCACGAGTTTTGTTTACATACCAGGAACCGGAGCATATTGAAGGTTCTCAATGCAGGCTTGTCTAACCCGAGAATCTCGTCCGCGCTGACACTCGCGAAATACCCAAACATTCAGACAGAAGTGCACTGACGTATACTCGAGCATAAAACACGCGTGAACATGATCAGAAACACATGAAAAGCTAGTCAAGAGTCGCTGGTTACTTTCGTGACAGGAAGTACGGTTTGGTTTGTAACTAGGTCTAGTTATTTCCGTTGCTCCAGAGCCGTTTTAACCCAGAGATCGAGAGAACGCGCAATTTTATGAAATTTTACATTTTTTATTATATTATTTCAATATTTCACTTAACACGATAGAGATTAAATAAATCAAAATATATTGGTACACTTCTAACGAATCTAATAATTTTATATTTAAGTAACATAAAGACTGCTATATAAAATTGTAGATGAATAGTGTTATTACATGACTGAGAAAATATTGCATATAACAGAGTTATTATTGGATTTTATTACGTACAATTTGCCTTCAAAATATATGTTTAATTTTATGTCAAGAGTAGTAACGTGATCACAAAGACAGAGAGGAATCCTTATAGCTTATAGCTTGCTCTAATAAATTTGTAAGGATTTTTCATAGAGATATATATAATATGATATATAATATATATATAGGCCCGTATTCTCAGATCACTTTTATCATAAATGCGCGCAATTAGTATATAGTTTACGTTACATATACTATAGAATCTCAGAAATAAATGCGCACATTTTTCGATAAAAGTGAATGAAGAATACGGGCCATAATCTATATAATTCCTTAAAAGAAATTATTTCTCGCGAGAGATTTCGTTAAAAGGTGTAGCAAAGTCAATATATCGCTTAATAAACTACGAAAGTAAGACTTTTATCATCTAAGGTTGCGTTCGAAAACCACACTCTTAGCGCAAAGAACGTGCTCCGTCCTTGTTCAACTTTCTGTAAGTAACAAAGATAGAACGACGCTCGAGCGTTAAGAGCGTGGTTCTGGAACGCAGCCTAAGAAAGAGATTTTTTGTCGCGAGCGACGTATTAGTGATGACTGACAAACACAGAAATTCTAAAACAATCCAAAATAGTTCCGACTGATTTGGAATGAAAATCAGAGTAGTACGAAGATTCAAAGTTTAAAGCTAAGAATTGCAAATATGAATTCGTGTGTATGTATGTGTGTGTGTGTGTGTGTGTACATGGTGTATGTGTACGCGGACGAATGACCTAATAGCCGTCCTCGTCATCTTCATCCATGGCGAAGTCACTACCAACTCCAGAGTCCGGCACGTAGAGAGGGCTGCGAAGCAAAACGGATAAATTGCATTACAAAGTTAAAAGAAAAAAAAAGGGAAACAACGTTCTAAAACCTTGTTCTAAAACCTACTTTATCGCTCTGCACGTGAAAAATACGATGCGCTTCAGCTTTTTGTTGTAGAAGAAATAATTGAAGGACCACAGGCATCCGTCTTCCCCAAAGGGATCTGACGCAAAGTCTGGATTGTAACTGTAAAGAAAGTTTCTTTCGCATTATTTCACATTATTCTTACTTAAAAAAAAATCTGCACCGTACTTGACATCAAAGGACGAAATTTAACTCAATGTTTAGAATTATGTACGTTCGATTTTTTTGTTTGACATTAAAGCAAGACGATCGCTAACAGCTGAGTGTTTACCTGTAAATATCACATCCGTGCAACGATATCTCTTTGTCAACGGCCGCCCAAAGAGCGGAACGTAACGAACGATAGTGCTCGCCCGCGGTAGCGTTGAGATTACCGTCGACCGCATTCATCACCCATTGGAGACTTGGCTCTTTGCTGAACTCGTGGCTCTTGGCGTCCGAGAAATCGTAGTCCGGATTAAAGGTTGAATTTAACGTGGCGATGAGATAAAACAACGTCTTCCTGCTGATTGTGTCGCATAGTGGACCCTCTTCGTCACCGGAAACGCTGCGACTGCGCATCGAAATGACAGCGTTATCAACTTATGACCAAGTACGAGCGAGTAACGAAATCTTATCTCAAAAATTAAGCGTAAATCAAGTTAGCTGGCATTAAACCGACCGAATGACATAAATTTCTGCGAGTACTGTGTTTAACGACAGATATCTCCCCCAAGATACCTCAAGCATCCCTGAGCCGGAGACGTTCCCAAGAATGTCTGCGGTGGTGATAAAGCTTGCAGATCGTGCGGCGTACCTCCCTGCTCCGCGTTATATCGTTTGTACAGCTGCTTGTCATTGGCCGTCATTTTGCAGGAGTAACTCTCGATCCTGCAACGACAAAGATTAATATGCGATGTAAATAATAACGAGACGACTCAAGATAAGTGTATGTAGGATCGATTAAAGATAACAAGGCCTGTGTTTGATTCGCGTTACCTCCCAATTATCTTGCTATCTCCAGTCTGGATGGACAAGGCACTGTTTATAGCTTCCAACTGCGTATTCTCCAGCAACTTCATCCTGATGACAGTAGCGATCTCTCAGATTACGCGAAGAAACTGTGGCTCCTGCCTTGGAGATCTGGAAGGTGTGTTGCGTTCGGGACCCCCTTGGCTGGGTTTGCCCGCCTTACAACGTTGACATCTCGCGACGGGTCCGTCACGAGTCCTCGTTGCTCGCTGTTCAGGCGAATTCTAGATACGTTTGCTCAGATTGTCAACCGTTCAGCCGTTCAGTACAAGCGAAACGTCAGGAAGCTTCTTTGACTTCGTTGGCTTATCGGATCGTTCAGCATCTCTCTTATGTGTATGAAAATTCCTTTCCTTTTCGAGTGCACGAGATTAATTGTCGACGTAGTGGTCTTCCCGGTTTCCTTGCTGTACTTGCACATTACAGATAGCTAATTAAGGATTTGATTGAGAGGGGGAGGTGATCAAGTTCCAGAGCGAGCTTGGCGAGCTCGAGATCAAGGCCCTCCGCTCCCTGGAGGAGTCGCAGGCGAGTACTTGTCCTACGTGCGCTGCCCGCTACTTGACAAAGTCAAGAGAGAGAGAGAGGGGGGCAGAGAAACGAATACACGGGATGCAAGAGCGAGAGACCGAACGATGACGCGACGCGCGACGTGACGCGACGCGAATCCACCGATAAACAAAGGTGCGCTCGCCTCTCCTTCCTCGAAAGGAGATTCGGCTCGGGGAAAATTATCGTCTCTTCGGCGAAGGCCGCGCGAAAAGGAACGAACGAAGGCACACACTCACACCGCGCGCGTACGCACACGGAGCACACAGGGGACGCTTACACACGGTGGCTCCCGGAGTGACAGGAGACGTCAAATCTCAGCCTCGAGCCTCGAGAACGCCTACTCCGCTTCTCGCGCGATGGGAAAGGAGCGGCAGACTGCAGAGAGGGCGAGATATATATATATATATGTATATGCCGAGAGAAGACACAGTGCCTCACGCGTAGCGTCCGCTACTGACGATAACAATCCATAATCACGGGCATTGTCGCTCGCTGCTGATACGTAGTATCACGGTCACTGTCGGAGAATTAATCGATGCGATCGCCTCCTCCACCTCGTTGAAGCGCGGTGGCACTTTGCCGATCTCGTCGAACAACCCGTCCCGCACTCGACCTTCCTTGCGCGCGAGACCCCGACCAGTTTACAAACTTCGATCTCCAATTGCGTTGCGACTCGCGACTCGGTGTCAGCCCGCGTTCACCGCGCACGTAGAGTCCGTGGAGACGCAACGGCACGTATGTATGTATGTGCGAGCGCGAGTTCGGGTGAGTATCGCGCGTATGTATGTATGTATGTACGTGACAGAAATAGCAACAGTCGGAAGGGAGAGAGGGGGGATGTATCGTATCCCTTTTTCTCGCTCGCGCGCGCGTCTTCGACGTCCCTTCGCTCTTCGTCTCGTTCGCGCTCGTCGCGAGACTTGGCGGGACTGGAGGCTGGAGGGGGGAGGCACGCGTACGTACCAGCCAATCGCGTTACGTCAGCGACGCGCACGTGTGCGTGACGCGTCCGCGGCTCCGCGCGCGCACGTGTATGTATGTGTAAAGACCGTGACCACCGTGACCAGAGTTCGTCTCTGTTGTGTCCGAATATCGGCCCCGCGCTCTCTTGCACTTCCTGCGTTTGAAATGAGACGACTGTATGTATGTACGTATGTACATACGTTAAAGCGTCAAATATCGGCAGGGGGGATGGGGGAGACGACAAAGTCCAATTTAAAAATGAAATCCATTTGAACCAGAACCACTTCTTTATCTTCGCGACGTCTTATTTAATTTAATAGAATTTTTTGAATTAACGTAAGCGTAAATTAAACGATATATATTGTTACAGAAATAATAAATGATGCGTCAGAGATCGAAGATTTAAGTAATGGGTGTAAAAAAATAT